AGAATCGTTACTTTAAGAGGATAAAAAAACTGTATGTATTGTTTTAGCCAGGCCCTTCATCTCCTACAGTGAACCTTTTTGCAGTTTCTACATAATTAAACATTACAGTCAAACAAGCAAATAAGCCTGACTCATGTCTGGTTGATAATAGTACCACATTTTATCTGGTGTGCACTCAGCAATTCTAATATGCAATTTAAACTGTGGATCAATTTATTTCAAGATGGCAGTGCTTGATAACTTCTAATTGCAACACCTGTACAATTTTCTGCATGGATTCTTTAATCAAAATGGGAGCCGAACGAGAGCATAGAGGCAATATATTCAGGGAGCACATGCATTGACTGTGACACTCATACTATCATTGCTGTGGGTGCAAGGGCATCTGCACAAGACTAGGCTTGCTCAAGAACTTGAATCTTTGTACACATGCAGATCCCCTGGAATTATGTTCTGTAGGACTGTCAATTTTATATTTACTACTTTAGTTGTTTCAAAAGAGCCTTGTGTTGCTAATGTGACCCCCCAACCACCATCTATGTGCCAGTGTGTTACCCATGCATTTTCATTGTTTGCATTTGTAAATCATTGTTACTTGTGATAATGAATCACCTATAAGTATGTGTATGTGTGGTTTTATACATGTACATATATTTATTTTCCCATATTGGGGGAATTGTGATATATAACACTAACAGCTGATTAAAGTTCATTTTATTAGGGATTAAGGAAGCAACTTTTTTAAAATTTATTAAAGTAAATACTTTTGAGAAGAATTCATTAAGTCTTACTTGTTCCCACTGCTGTTAGAGAATCTCCATACATTATGTGGTGTGGACAGACTGACGTTAGTTTTCAACTTACCTATGAAGTTATATTTCACTCCTAGTGTTGTTTTATTTTAAAACATCACTTACTCTAAATAAAAATAATAAATGAATTGTCACTTTTTTATATATTGATTAATAAAAACACTTAGTATATGTTAGTTAAACTGACACAATCTGTTTTCCCTTGATTTCACATTTGTCTTTTTCTGGCACACTGTATAGTTTAGCTGAAATATGTTAAAGCTTAGGCCGATTAATCAGATTGAATCTTAGGTGGATGAACTAATGTCAGTTCCCAAGCATTAACCTTGCTAATGCCCCTCATCACCCCTGTGTCTTGGCATTACTGTGAAGTGTGTGTTGTAGATATTTTAGTCCTTGTCACTGTTAGTGCAGCAATTCTTGCCATTCTATAAATAAAGGCCGTCTCAGGGAGCAATTGAAGGCAGCAGAATGTTCCGACAGCAGAGGGCATGGTGGCCTTGTCTCACAAGGATGTAAGAATTATGTGGTCTTTCTGACAGTTTGATACATATCTCATATATTTTACCACGATGCAGTATCACTGGTTTTATTTTCGTTGTAGAAAATTTTCTAAGTGATGCCTTGCACTCATCCTTATTTTCTCAGTTTTTAGTTTGATTTCTGAAATATTTACTAAAATTCAGGCCTGCTACAGATAAACTAGTAGGTCTGGAATTCACCCAGGAGTACAAGGGGGTGAGACAGCAGTTTTTTATATATATATATATAATTTGTGCATAGCGTTCTGTTCAGATAAAAACAAAGGATTTAGCCTTGACAGCAAACTATTAAAGTGTTAAATACAGATGTTACTGCAAAAACATTCTTCCATATTCATATTTCTTCATGCACTTCAGTTTGGAAGCATAAAGCCCTAGACAGCCACTAATTACAGACACAGAGATCCAAACAAATTATCCGTCCTTGGTTTGAAAAATGTGCTCTTATGCAATCATGACTTTGTATCTAAGGATGGTGTCTTCACAAAAACAGCTGCCAGAGTAAAATATGGGCAAAGCTCCATTCTGCCATTTGTGCAGACAGTTAGTGCAATCCTTCACCTTGACATCAACACCAAAGCTTGAAAGAAGGAAATCAATAGTCCAGCATGTTTATGCACTTATTTAATTTCACATCTTGACACCCAAGTGAGATTAACAGTTTGGCACCATTTCATTATTGGGGAAATAAAAAAAAAAAACTTGCTGTGACTGCAATTAGTAAACAACATCATGGAAACGAGCTTGCATAGTGCTTGATGACCAACCATTACAGCACATCAGTTTCACTATATGCAGCATTTCTTAATTTAGTGTTTGCAGGTATTAAATTTGCCCTAAATAGTCATTAGTACATTTGTGAGTGTAATGGCAACATAATACTACAAGGGTGTTCCAGTTAACATTCTAGTTTATTCAAATGTAAATAAAGATAAAAAGATAGAAACTGTCTTACTCTCTACAAGGACAATGGGCCTGATCTTCAAAGATTCCAAATAAGGGGCGTTATATTGTTAAAGTTTTTTTCTTTTCTTTTTTCAGTCTGAAAGTGGCTGCAGAACAAAAATGAGGTTCTAAGTCAGTCACCTGACCTAGTTGGAGGTAGAAATGACAATTATCTAAATAATAACAATCGTAATACAAAATATTATTAACAGTGCACCAGTGACTCAATAATAATGTTCTTGTTGCTGTGCTATGCAGACATTCTCTGCACTGAAGAGAATCTACCTACAAACTGCTATGCCATAAACCATGTTATTGATGTTAGCTCAATGTCCATGCTGGTTACCTTTAAGCATTGGTGGAAAATTCAGGAGTTTTGCTCCTCTCTTTTAGTATGGCTCCTCAGCCAGCCACATCAGAGTACCATTGTCATGATCTTGGCACTGATGACTAGATTATTGGTTCATTTCTTCCACCTGTCTAGCTCCACCAATTTTTTTTTATTCTCACTCATCAGATCCACCTGTTCCAGTTCCTAATTAAGCAGCTTGTTCCCAGCCATCAGTGCCAGATAATTCAAGCCGTGTGTGACAGTTTTCTAGAGTACCTAGTGTTTTTCTGATTACCTGATCCTCACTAATTTCTGCCTCTGGAATTCTGAGTTTTGTTTGCCCCTGTTCTGATCTGTTTTGCCTGGCCTGGCTTCCGACTGCAACTTGGATTCTGCCTCCTAACGACCTTGGATCTGTCTCCTGACCCCGGGTTGGATTCCTCTTCGATACCTCTTCAGATCTCTGATCGTATAGCCTGGAAATCTGCTCCTGCATGGACTGTGACCTTGGATTTTCCCTCTGGATATTTCTGCTCTTCCGCGTCTGCTGGCTTCTGCTTGTCAGTCTGCTCTGTTTCACTCCTGGAACTCTCTGGGCTCCTGCTGCATGCTGTGGAGAAATCATCCTACTGGATTCCACTCCTTCCTCTGGGCTTGGACCGAACTTATAAACCTGGTTTATAAGCTTGGTCACATGCTCGCTATTATTACCCATCAGAGTTTAGTGGTCACTAACCTGTGTTTCCACCTCTACAGAGAATCCAGCAATCCTGCCCCAGCTGACGAGCCGCAGAGTTATGAACAGTTAATAAATGCTTTGTTTGAAAACACTCTGATCTGTAGTTTGGAGTACTGACAACCATATGAATTGAGGACAATGCAGGCCACAGGAATCAGTGGACCACTGGACCTGTTGATAATTTCAGAAACAGATTCCGCAAAAAGGACTGTTCTGCAATGTTTCACTCTGCTTTTATAGGAAACTTTGATATGCCAGAGACTGGAGGCTTTCATCTCAGAGGAAAAGACGTTAGCTCCCCTTGTGCAGGCCTGACATAACAAGCTTTCCTGAACTTTGGAGAAGCTTCACCTTTCAAAACCAGATCAACCAAGGATACAGGTCAGGCAAAGTTAGGGAAAGCTTTAGTTTAAAAAGGGTCTACGCACTAATTCGTAATGTTTGTGCTTCCTTATATACTCATTACATTTGATTACTAAAATATGACAAAAAAAATCCCTTTTTAAATTACCCCCCTTGTGTCTGCTCATTATCTTCATAAGTCAGATGTAGTAAAGAAGTTATTTCCTCAGCAACAATCACAGAAGGTTAAGATTAAATTACCCAAGATTGTTGATTTTTGATTAAGCAAATAGTTTAATACAATATTGTTTTGCTAAATTATGTTTTATTTACCTTATATTTTGATTCTGAATTAGTTTGAAAACACTCCACTTGCTCTAAGCTAGTTCATTTGACCTGATTTAAAGGTCTTCATGACAAACTGTGGTTTTCGAACAAAGATTACATTCTAAACTGTGACATTGCTATATTTTGATTATGGTTTTTAAACATTTAAATTTTTCTTTGTGGTCATAGTATCTTAGTCTCCTCAAGAGTTTTTAACTTAAATTATGTTTGACTTGGAGCTGGATGATTTTAATAAATCCATCTAGTTTGAATGGACGCCCTTATATATGTATTTTATACTTAATATGGGCAAATTATCTGTTTGAACATGAATTGAGCTTGACTCACACTTATTGTTCCAAAGTTATTTGATTTAAATTACATTTCCCTGCCATTTAACATATAAAGTTAATCCTTAATGCCTACACATCTAAATGGTCTAAGAATTACAAGAATAAAAAGAAATTCTTGAAAGGATTTGTAGCTTAAAAATTTTTTTTTTTTTAGATAAACAAAAATAAATTGCAGAAGAAATTCCTTTTAAAAAGTATTTCAAAAATTTAACCTTTGAAAAATAGTTTACATGATGAGAAATTCCCAAGTTAGAGTACAGGGAAGCAAAGGGAAACTCCATTAATTAAAATAACAGTGAATATTTAATAACAAACATAAACAAAGTACCAGTATATCATTGTCTTCATACATGAGACTGAAAAGGGATGTAAAATTATGATTAAAAATGAATGATTAAGCTGTAATTGTTAGTAGAGAATCAGGGGTGGTGACCTACACAACAGCCGAGGTTCCAACCAACAGACCGTTCAAACTACTGATGAGAATCCAGGCTAAGATTCAGCTGCAAGAGCAGACCTTCCTTTCTTGTTTCCGTTTCAAAAATATTTGTCTTAATCCAGTAAAATAACAATTAATCAAAAATATCACACATCTATAATATGCGAGTGTTTTGAAATGTAAGTTTCTCTGGTTTATTGACCCTGAGGTAATAGGCATTTAAACAGTAAAGCTAAACCAAATATCTGATTAGATTTTTTGTTTCTTCTGTTAGTTTTTGGTCAAGATTCTTGGTCGTACATGCGTCTTCTGAGCACACCAAGGACAATTACAAACACTGTTGGAGTTGCAACCACAGCAACAGCAATGGTGAACTGCAAAAAAAAAAAAGTATACATGTTAAATACTAGTAAAGCTTTTTGCTCAAATGGGTCATTAATTTTCATAGTTTAGTGACTTTTCTATAGCATATCAACTTTTTTGTTTAGAAATGCAATATGCTTTTTGCAAATTCATCAAGTCAAGTTATGTGAATATACGTTGGCATTTTTAGCAAACCTTAATCACAGAAGCAACGTGGCACCCTTCAAATGACTGCAAAAATATATGAAAAAGAGCAAGGCTGCACGGCAAGTATGAATCTGTGTTGTCGGAATCTCTACACCTTTAAGGAGAAAAAAAAAGCAAAAAAGAATATATATATATTCATTATTTTTTTACAGATAAAATTGTACTTTGATGAGCAGGTACACTTATATTTCAGCCGTAACTAACCTTTGGTACATGGTACTTAGGAGAAGATTTGTGTCTGCATGGTACAGGTCAGATAGGCCAAGCTCAGTCAGTATGGAAAGTGGCAGCCTGTAACCCTCATCAACAAGCAAACCAAGGTTGTACCATCCCTGGAAAGATTAAAAAGTACAACTTAAACAGAAGTATTTACAAGGATGATGCTGCATAAAGACACTTCAGAAGAAAAGAGTAGCAACAATACCTGTGGGTTGTTGCTTAAAGCTGCCTTTGAATACATCTGTGCAGCAGAAAAGTAGTCTTTCTGTCTACCATCCAGCCCTTCATATAACAGGTCACCCATCCTAATGAAGGCTGGAAGAATAAAAATAAACAAACTCAAGTTAGTTACAGTAACCTTCTAGAAAGGATTTAACTTTAAGATCAATACTTACCATAAGTGTCCGGATTCTGACTCTGGATTGTGAGATTGTAATATCTCCACATATAGTTTGTTGCATAGTGACGATCCAGAAACCCAGCCTTAAACATAACCATTAAAAGACAACAGTATTTAAAAATAAAACAATACAGATATGTCACATACTGCTACTCAATAATAATAAAATGAAATTACCGAATTTTGTTCACAAAGATATGCCACATTAAACTGTGCAGGAGCATACCCTGATTCAGCTGCCATCATATAGTATAACAAAGCCATGAACCTGTTTAAAGACAGAGTGTCACTTGGATGTAGATGTTACCTGTTTACTATCAAATTCAAAAAGAAGACAACACACATGTCACTCTTCAGATAGGAATCCAGCGCATTCCTTAAGATCCTGCCCAAATATCCGTTGTGCTCAGCTGTCCACTTAACCCACCTTAAAACAGAAAAAATAGGAAATATGTTACAACTAGGATGTACTCACACATAAACAGTCTGATCAGAGTGATGTATGCTTTTATAAGTAGCATGAGTCAAAATGTATTTTGTGATTTCCAATTTGTGCATAAGTTGGAATTTATTTATATTTATTTTTTTAATTCAAATAGGGTCTAAATTGTAAACATAGGCTCTCTAGACACCTACATCAGGTTAAATTCTGTTTAGCAGGCTACACTTGATCAGTCTTTGTATTTTTGTCAAGCTTCTAGCATAGTATGGCCTCTGGCATCAAGCTGCTGGGATATTTGACCATTTTTCATGGCAAATCAAATAGAGATTATATAAACTGTAATCCATAAAATAAGCTTACTTGCCGCCTTTATCCATTACAAAATAGGTATTGATGTGTTTGTAATCGTTGTGCTGTAGTAAAGCTCAGTTATCCAAGTTTTAATTATTAGTTTGAGGTGAAATTAGTGCATTTGGAGCAAATATTTCCTGTTTATTTTCCTCCTCCTTGTGCTAAACACCTGTTACCTTAAAAAACCCTTTACCCCCCTAAAGAACACACACTTTCATGACGTTCCTATGAAACTAGGATGGCAGTGAATTTAACCTATAAAGGCAACTGCAATTAAAAACAAGTGTGAGTAGCTAACAAGACAGCATCTGATGGGCGTCTCGCAACATAGCCGGGTATCCCTGTAGCCCAGACGTCAGCCAGTGAAACTGCTCCGCGCAGGTGTGCTCTTTCAGCAGACTTCAGGTAGTACTTGTAGGCCACATACTGATGGAAACACACAAATTGTTTCACAATGAATGACCTGAAACTTTTATTAAGTGTAAAACGAATGCATGTATTTGCATAAAAGAGAACCTGGTCAGCAGGTTTTCCTGGATAGAGGCCCTGTGAGTGCAAGACACCGAGATTTAAAGGGGCATCTGGAGAACCAAGGGAATCTGCTTTTTCCCACAGCTGCACAGCTTGCTGGTAGTCCTTTTCATACTGCTCATAGTACCAGGCCAGGGCATTCATTGCGGGAACAAATTCCTGAAGCACAAATCATGGAAATCAAAAGGGAGAGTGCAAAGTTTAAACAGAAGTGGAGATACAAATATAATACTACATTATGCTTAAATATGAGTATTTAAAATAAATGTATATAAAAAACCTTTTCCACCGCTTTTTTAAGGAAAGTGACAGCTTTTGGAACATCCTTTTCAACACCCTGGCCCTACAGAAAAAAAAAAAAACATTTTTAAAAAATGTACCACTATAATATAACTCTTAAGAATAATCATAAGAGCTAGGCTTTTTTATGTGTGTTGGGTAAAAATCTTACCAGCAGCAGCACTATTCCATAGTCATACATTGACACTGGGTCCTCCAGCTGCACAGCTCCTCTTTCATAGTGCTTCACAGCCTCCTGTATGTTTGGAGACAATCCTTGCTGACCCCAGAAGAGCATACGGGCAAGAGCTTGCTGTGAAAACAATGATTACTTTTGCTATTAAAATAATGGCTTTGGTTATAAAGTACTATTTACAACCCCTTTAAGCAAAATCCCAGATAAAGGTATAAAGAAACACCTTTTTAATGCAAAATTTTAAACTAAATTATTACATTTTGACAACTTAAAAATGCTAATCTTAATGACTTCTCTTGAAATTTTAGGTGATCAAACAACAAAAAATGAGAGAAACATTTCTTGCACAGAAAAATAAAAAAGTGAGGTCTGCATTTGCATTAAGCCACAGTGTTATCCCTTAATAAAATACAATGCAGCAAAAAACAATAAAAAACTTTTAAAACAACCCTAATTAGTAAATCAGGTCCAGGTTTAATCTTTGAATAAATACAGCTGTTCTGCAGAGGCATCAGGGGCTGGTAAGAGAACCTTAATGAACAGCCGGCTCATGATGACCAAGGATAAAATAAAACATGGTGGTGGCATCATTATGCTGTGGGGATTTCTATCCTTACCAAGGCCATAGGAACCTCATCAGAGTACAAATTCCAAAGGGTACATGATCCTTTAACATAGGGAAAAGACTCAACGTTCAAAAGGACAAAACATAAAAATCAGAACCAAACTTAATATACAAACAATTTAGATTACACAAATAATTCGAAACAAATGTACAATAATTTAAAAAGGGCACATTTAAAATAAAACATTAAGAGGAGCCAAATAAATGGACAACATGGGTCTGCAGATTTTCTGTTTAGAAAAGATGTCCAAAGTCATGCAGCATATTTCTTACTCTACAAATATATGCTAGTCATAATAAGTCAGTAATAATGGTTATGCGATGAAATGGAAAAGATTGAAGAATAAATGATGTGGTAAAGAACATCCTCTAACAGTACAGTACATCTGTTTGGTCTTCTTTTGGCGTTGTGCCTGGCTGTCCTTTAACAGGATCCAGTTAGGTCTTTCTTTATAAAAAAAATATTTCAGCAAAAAAACTGATAATAATATGCAATAGTACAATCCACCAGGGTTATGGTGAAAAGATCAAAGGAAAGATTTAAATAGAAATAGGAATTTGAAAAATCTCCCTTGAACGCCTCAAAGAGAAGTTTAGGACACAAGTAAAACTGGGTACCTCAGCCTCAGCTGCCCCTCTGCGGGCCTGTAGTTTCAGCCACTGAAAGATATGATGATCCTTGTTGGTCTGAAGGTTCAAAGTCTCATCGTCGTTCAAATATATAGCCTCCACAAACGTCTTAAAAGGAAATAAAAAGTGGAAAACAAGTTAACGACTGATTTGCTGTTCAGCAGAGATCCTCAAATTATTTAAATTAGAGATGAATAAATCTAAAAAACACACTCTTTTTAAATTCAAATTTAGAAAAAAGTTTAGATAACGAGAAATTTCTAGGTTAGAGTAAAGGTTACCAAAGGGAAATTCCATTTATTACATTAAGAACAGTGAATACTTAAAAAATATAAATAAATAAACAACACAGTGGTTTATCATTTCCTTCATACATAAGACTAGAAAGAGGTGAAAAGACTGGAGGAAAAAAGTAGCTATATGTAGTTATATGATTATGTATGATTATGTTGTAATTGTGACCTACAACTGCCGAGGTTCCCGTGCCTGAAGAAACCAGAAACCTGCTGACCCTTCACACTACTGGTGAGGATCCAGGTTTAGATTCAGTAGCAAGAGCAGACCTTTCTTTTTTGTTATGTTAAAAAACGTATTTGTCTTAATCCAGTGAGATAACATAATTAATCAAATATATTACACATCAAATCCTACACTATGTAAGTATTTTGAATAGCTAGTTCTCTCGTGTTTATTGACCCTGAGGTAACAGGCATTGAAAGAGAAAAGCTACACTAAATAATTTATTAGCTTTTTGTTTTTCCTGTTCATTTTTGGTCAAGATTATTGGTCATACATGTGTCTTTGAACACACTGAGGAAAATAACAAACCTACATTACAGAGCATGATGCAGAGAACAAATGGATGACTGGTGTAACCCGGGTGTAAATCCCAGTGATTTTCCATTTACATGTTTGGATAATGGAGAAAGATTCCAGTGATCATTCTGTGTGTTTTTTCATTTACAGCCCCTCATTGCTACACAGCCAATTGCTGTTGAGTATCAGGGTCACATGTGCAACAGCCTATCAGTTAGGTATATATTAGTTGGAGTGGGGAAGTATGAAAGACTATGGCATGTTGGGAGAAGCAGAGCTGCAGGAGCTAACTACTTAGCCGAGATGACATGGGAAAAAAAACTGTTTGTGTTACATACAAACTATGGAATTGGTGAGTGTTTCTCTTGTGTGGCTTAATATTAGCTCATTATGTCTTTGTTTGTTGTCTAGCTGCTAAATTGCTGATTATACAAACAGATGCCCAGACTAGCTTTGAAGAACCCTATGTGGACAATGAGGTGCCTTAAATATTTATTGAGCACTTGTTTGTATTAGTTTTTTTTACATTTCATGTTGACTAATTTATATAGTGCATATTTATTGGATTTTTTATGAATGTAATTAATATGGAACTTTATATTTATTGAATATGCATATTGATTGAAAATTATTGTTTGGAATTATTTGTAGTGCAAAGAGTACCACTAACTGAATTTGTGTGCACACTAGAATGTTTTGATCATATATATATATATATATATATATATATATATATTGAGAAAATGGTCCTGTTTTATTATTCAGGCCAGGTGTTGATGGCGAGCTGAAGGTCCAGGCCTAGAGCCCAAGAAAGATTGCACTTTGGGTGCACAAAGTCTTTGGATCTCCTGCCAGGCTGGTAGGAGGCTCCTTGCAGCCGACGAACAATTTTGTTTCCACTCTGCTCTGACTTTTGTCAGTCCACAACCTGCACTGTACCAAGCACTTTAAAATGGAATTTGCTTGGGACCTTTAATCAACCCCAGCCTGGGGTGAATCGACTGAAGGGATGTGGTTTCATTAATTGTGGAATTGATTAATTTTGTTTTTCTTTTTCCTCTTTATTGTTTTGTTTTCTTTCTTTTTTCTGTGCATTTTATATGGCCATTCGGATGATTCAATGACGTTGTAAATATGTATAAAATTTTCCTCACTATAAATACAAAGCACTCGCAACTGCAAACTTCTAGTCTCTGTATGCTGTTTCATGAGTCGTGCCTATATTCTGAGAACTAGCCTATTGACCTTATTTGTTATGATCCATTTGCATTAATTTAAAATATAGTATACTGTTATTTTTACAGATATGCTACACTATCAATTGCAGGCTTATTCCTCGATAGGGAATTCATATTTAAAATATTTAAAAGCTTTTTTGTTTCGCCATGCATGCTAAAAATGAGATTCAGAGCTCTGTAGAAGTTTTCTTACCACTTGAGCTTTTTCATGTTATTTCTCACAATAAAATCTTTCTAAATGCTTTATAGAATTAAATAATCTGTTACTATGTTTTACTATGTCTCTCCTTTACTCTGACATCCCTGAATAACATCCAGTGTAATGTTTGTTTTAGAACTTTGGTAAACAAACATCATAATAAAGGGACACAACAAGAATAAGGATGTGTAGTGGGGTTTGGCTATGAAACACGCAAACACTCCAGGAAAAAAAAAAAATCATTCAATCCATTATCCGTGATGCTTATCCCAAGCAGTGCCTATCTCCAGCTGTGTACGGGCGAGAAGACAGGTCGCCAGTCCATTGCAGGACATCACAGAGACAAACAGCCATTAATTTACGCACACACTCACACCTAAGGAGAATTTAGAGAATCCAGAATTTAGAGAATTAACCTAACAGTCATGTTTTTGAACTGTGGGAGGAGACTGGAGTACCAGGAGAGAACCCGCACATGCTCAGGGAGAACATGCAAACTCCATGCAGAGGGACCCCGGGCCAGGCAGCAGTGCTACCCACTGCGTCACTGAGCATTGACCATGATAAGTCAGTTAGCAGTTAGTGGTATCTGTCGGCAAGATAACTATTAGTCAAAAGCTTCATTGATCTAGAATTGATGGCGGAGTGGCAAGAATGCAATGAAGTTGTCGTGACACATCAAGAGAATACAGGAATCTGATCAGATGAGGACAAATTTGTACTTTTTAGTCTTTATTCCAAACAGTACATGAGGGAAAAGACTAACAGCACTCAATAAATATACCCATGGTCAAAAATGTTGGTGGCAGCATGATGCTGTGGGGACCGTATTCTAAAGGAGGGATCAGGAGGCTGATTTAGAGTTGTTAGGTAGATTACATGGCAATCCAGGAAGATAATCTATTAGATGCTGAACAGACTTAAGATTGGGGCAGAGATTCACATTAAACACATGCCAGAGATATTGGATTTGCTTGCAGCAAAAACTGTGTATAAAAACCTAAAAGGTACTGCTTAAGATGTAACAGAACAAAGATGAGTGTTTCCTCCCAGCTCCTGCACTCCAGTAACTGCAAGACTGATTGATTTCTTCTACTGTACTTTGCAATATAAAACACATAGATTACCTGCTGTGGGGAGGGATTCTGCCGGTCTAAAGTTGTCTGTTTTGCAATATTTGCATAATAAGCATAGGCCAGATCTGGATCTTTCAGAAAACCATGTAGTCCCTGCTGGTGTAGGTGACCGAGATGCAATAGAGCCAACCGATTATCCCTCTGAGCAGCCAGCAGGGCAAGGAGCCAAGCCTGTGGAAAACAAAGCATGTGAATAAAAAAGAAAAACATAGACAGAGAGAAAACAATTCATGTTGGAATAAAACACACCTTAATGGGGTGCTTCTGGACTCCCAGGCCAGTGCTGTAGAGCACAGATGACATGTGCAGAGCAAGGTTATCAGCAAGACAGCCAGCTTGGAGCAAGAGATGCAATATTTTTCTGACAGCTGCAGTGCTGCTTGTTTTATGCATCTTATGAACTGATAAGGAATACAGAGCTCTTCCCACAGCTGTTGGACTGACTGATGTCCTTCCTGCAATATAAACAGAATAGTTTTTTTAAGCGAATCAATATATATGGTTTTGGTAGTCCATGGATATTAATTAATGAATAAACAGAATAGATCTTCAAAACTTTAAAGCTGTGCAATCGTGCGTCAGCATTTTGTAATTTATACATTACCATATTTAAAAACCAGTAACTTGGCTAGTTGGGTAGCAATTTTTCTGCGAGGAACAGCTTTCTCCCAAAGCCCACACTGGGAATTTGATGGTTGTTTCCCCATTTCAAGCCACTCATGTAAAACATTGAAACAAGTCTCTGAAAAAGGCAAAACAGTCAATTATATGTTGGCTTTACATTTTTGTTGTAACTCTACCACCATCTAATGGACAAAATAGACTACTACAACCTTTTTTCCCCTGTTTGTTTTTAAGTATGAAGCCACTGATTTTGACAGCGATGTCAAAGATAAATTCTTTGCAGTTCTGCAGCCATCCAGCCAGGTTTGTGCTTTTTATCACTTCTGGAATAACAACTTCAGACTGTGGCATAAAAAAAGGACGGAAAATAATTAAGACTGAAAATTCACTACTTATTCATTAGAAGTATAAGAACATTATTACCGTGGAATGGGGAATTCTGTTGCGGTAGTAAACTACAGGTCCAAAATAACCTTCCAGACCTTGGATAAATTTCCCTCCACCAATCACAAAATATCCTTCTGTGTCATCAAATATGACATCATGACTTAAACTGTAAAAAAAAATAAAAATAAAAACAGTAATTTTTTCTGCTGATACAATCACATTATTAAAGTGAAAAGTAAACCTACGTATGTTCTGAAGATTTCACTGTTCTTTCCTCATCATGCATAAACCACAAGGAAACAGTTACCTAAAAAACATAAAGACAATTTCATCTTGTATTTCTATCATAAAGTAAATATTAAAGGATGTGTTGTGTCAATATAAGATTACTCACAGTTTTTCCGCGTAATGCTAGACTGAGTTGGCACCATTTATTTAAAGGGACAGTAAATGTGGAGAGAAATGCAGAAGATTCTTCAGAAAACCCACTTATCTGAATGTGTAGCTGGCCTGTATTTAAATGTAGAAGTGACGATTAAATTGAATACAATTAAAACTGTAAACCGTTTGTCCATCTGAAGTTTCTGTTGACAGATGAAGACTAAAAATAAAGTAGAAAGATTGAAAGTCCCGCTTAATTTTTAAGTAACATAAACACATTTGATTGTACATGCCAAACACTCAAAAAGGCTACATTACAAAACTAGAACAGAAATTTTTTTTTATAGATAATTCAAGTGGCAAAGTTTCAGAAGATTTCAACAGCATATAAACTTAAGTAAATGTATGGATTCACCACCGAACATACATAGACTAATTAGAAAAACGTTGCATTTCTGATTCCAAACTTCCAGAATGAATATTTAAAAGACAGGCTTACATGGATGGTTTAAATCTTGGCAGAGTGGAATGAATATTGTAAATAAAAAAGGTAAAAAGTCAAAAAGCTAAATAATAAATTGTGTTTTTTTTTTCCACATTTGTTTCTCTCAGGCCAAGTGACAGTGTATGGGTGAATCTGTGTCAGACTATTGCAGTCATATGGCATATAAACATAATTTTGATGATATTGTCATCAAGGTTAAGTCTGTTGTTGGTCGGTGTGTGGATACATTGGCAGGAAGCGTCCAAAGTCCCTTCTGCACAAAAACAATTTCAACCTTTAGGCTTGTGGATGTGCCCCAATATTTCAACTTAATTACAAACATTAATATTAATAATTCAAAACTTTTAACAAGGTAGGACTCAAAGAAATGGTAAAGAGGGATCTTTTTCAATATTTTCCAAGTAGGCCGGCAATATCACACTGTTAGTTTCATTAGACTACGAAACAAATTTAAATTGTTTGCCACAAATCTTGGTGCAGAACCAACAAACCATTGAAAATCTACAAGGAGTTTTAAATACCTTTTTCTTTTAGGAAATCCTTTTATATTATATAGAATGCACTTTGTAAAGCAATAAAGCCTATTCATGAGAATGTATTAGCTCGTAGAAAAGTTAATAATACCTGATTGTCCGAGGAAAAGTGCTGGTGTGGCATAATTGTTGTGGGAATCAATGTGATGAAACACTCCACACAATTTCTCCTTGCAATGCCTGGTCACAAATATCCACAAGGAAAGTTCACACCTAGGGGAAAAATATGCAAAGTTCGGCTATAAGGTTAATTTTACCATCTGCATCCAAAGAATCATAAACTGTGTTATAGCTACTATATTACCAAGGAAAAGCAATGGCTTTAATGCGATGGTGCTCCAGCAGCTCATTCCTGTATGGATCCAGTGTCTTTGTTATTCCAAAAATTTCTCCGGTTGAAGCATAGATTGTAGACAGAAGATGGATGGTTTCTAAGGGTAACGATGAGTTTTAGTTCGGTTAAATTAGCTTTAATATGCAATAGCTTTCATTCAAAGTAGACTGTTTTAAGGAAATCTCTTTCCTGTAATGGATCTAGAATTTTCAAGATCCCACCAGTAATGAATGTAGAAAAAAATTCTCATTGGCTCAGCCTTACCTTGCTCTACAGGGCACAGTTTCTGTAAAAACCGCTGAGTTAATTGTAACATTTGTTTGCTCCAGGACATAGAGAGCTGATGCTGCTTGACAGGTCGACTAAAGAAGGGCTTAGGCTGCAGATGTGCCACATCCTGAGAACCAGAGGGGCTTCTAGTCTCATCAGAACCAGAGTGTCTAACAGTGGCTCGAAGAAAACAGCTCAGCAAAATGTAATCTGGAATTATCCCATCTGGTTGATACACCAACCAATCTGGTAGTTTCAGCTTCACAGTCTTTATTAAAGGTTCCCTGGGGACACAGCTCCACTGCCTCAGTTGGATTGTGGACACTGTGCCTGTTTCAAATGTTACAACACAGTCCAGCTGTACTGTAGCTGCTGCATCACAAGAGTAGAGGATTCTCAGGAGATGGTCTGGGAGAGCTTCCTCTGGAGGATTCAGGAGCTTCACCTTGTCCAAACCACAAACAATCTGAAGCACAACAAATGCAGTTCCTCACCTGATGAAAGCAGAGTAGATGACTGTCAGAGATGCTTAAGATAAACATGCTCCTACCTGCATAGTGAGGAAAAACTGGCAGATGAATTTGTATAATGTATGGAAGCCCATGTTTCACACTGCCTTCATCAATCTTCTCAGTAAGAAGGCTGCAGGGAAACAAAGAGGCTCCATAACCGGATCTAATCCTGTTTCACACTGGCTCCACTGAAGCACAGGTAAATATTTAACAGCACACAGTTCCACCCAATTACTACCTGAACGGTGGAGGTGGGGAGGGCCGCTGTGCTGTGAACTGCATTCCAATCCTAAAAAGATAAAGATGCATCATTGGCATCCAGCTTCTGCACAGAACATACACCTACAGGGCCTTTCAAAAGTATTTAAACCATTTGAATATTTCCATATTTTTCATTTTACAGCTACACAACTTATATGCAACAGACCTACACAAAGCAGTGCATATTTGTCAATTGGAAGGAAGATATTTTCCCTTTTACATAAAGAAATCTGGTAAATGTGATATTTACTTATATTGAGCAGTTTTACTCAGGTACCCCTAAATAAAACCCTGTGTTACCAGCCCCTTCAGAAGATGATTAAGGAAATATAATCTAGATGTGTGTATTTTAATCTCCGAGGATAGCCATGTGTTCTCTAAAGGCTTCTAATATTCAGGTTGTCAAAGTGACCTGGTTATTCATTTCAGAAAATCTAATCATGACACGGTGACACTTATCCAATGAATCAACGTCCATGAATGCAACACTCCCGCTTTATTCATGCACACATTGGCAGAGTGTAATCATCTAGATCAGTGGTTCCAAACCCTGGTCCTTGAGGACCCCTGTCCTGCATGTTTTAGATATACACTATATTGCCAAAAGTATTTGCTCACCCATCCAAATTATTGGAATCAGGTGTTCCAATCACTTCCATGGCCACAGGTGTATAAATTCAAGCACCTAGGCATGCAGACTGTTTTTACAAACATTTGTGAAAGAATGGGTCGCTCTCAGGAGCTCAGTGAATTCCAGCGTGGAACTGTGATAGGATGCCACCTGTGCAACAAATCCAGTCGTGAAATTTCCTCGCTCCTAAATATTCCACAGTCAACTGTCAGCTGTATTATAAGAAAATGGAAGTGTTTGGGAACGACAGCAACTCAGCCACGAAGTGGTAGGCCACGTAAACTGACGGAGCGGGGTCAGCGGATGCTGACGCGCATAGTGCGAAGAGGTCGCCAACTTTCTGCAGAGTCAATCACTACAGACCTCCAAACTTCATGTGGCCTTCAGATTAGCTCAAGAACAGTGCGCAGAGAGCTTCATGGAATGGGTTTCCATGGTCGAGCAGCTGCATCCAAGCCATACATCACCAAGTGCAATGCAAAGCGTCGGATGCGGTGGTGTAAAGCACGCCGCCACTGGACTCTAGAGCAGTGGAGACGCGTTCTCTGGAGTGACGAATCGCGCTTCTCCATCTGGCAATCTGATGGACGGGTCTGGGTTTGGCGGTTGCCAGGAGAACGGTACTTGTCTGACTGCATTGTGCCAAGTGTAAAGTTTGTTGGAGGGGGGATTATGGTGTGGGGTTGTTTTTCAGGAGCTGGGCTTGGCCCCTTAGTTCCAGTGAAAGGAACTCTGAATGCTTCAGCATCCCAAGACATTTTGGACAATTCCATGCTCCCAACTTTGTGGGAACAGTTTGGAGCTGGCCCCTTCCTCTTCCAACATGACTGTGCACCAGTGCACAAAGCAAGGTCCATAAAGACATGGATGACAGAGTCTGGTGTGGATGAACTTGACTGGCCTGCACAGAGTCCTGACCTCAACCCGATAGAACACCTTTGGGATGAATTAGAGCGGAGACTGAGAGCCAGGCCTTCTCGTCCAACATCAGTGTGCAACCTCACAAATGCGCTTCTGGAAGAATGGTCAAAAATTCCCATAAACACACTCCTAAACCTTGTGGACAGCCTTCCCAGAAGAGTTGAAGCTGTTCTAGCTGCAAAGGGTGGACCGACGTCATATTGAACCCTATGGATTAGGAACGGGATGTCACTTAAGCTCATATGTGAGTCAAGGCAGGTGAGCAAATACTTTTGGCAATATAGTGTATCTCTGTTGATAACCTGATTTAAATTAGGGCTATCCCTCTGCAGTTGGGTGCTGCAGAAGCCTTGTATGTGTGATCCAACTAGGAAACACCTAAAACATGCAGGACGGGGGTTTCTGAAGAAAACAGGATTTGGAACCACTGATCTAGATAACTGCATGATGATCTAGGTCCAGACAAATGCTTTGCTAGACTACAACATTTTACCTATTTTGATGACTTCATTCCTGGTTAACCATGTCCTGCTAATGCATTAATATTCTGCATTAAGGCAGTGATTTAATATATATATAAATAGGGCCGTCTTCTTGAACTGATGGTTCAGGGTAGTGAAATGGTAAATCTGGAAGGGGCAGCAGAAAAAATCAGCTCCAATGAAAAATGAGACCAATAAGAAACATATTAGACATGTAGAGAGCAGCAGCGGGCAGAGTGATAACAATGTCATTATTGAGGTAAAGCTAAATAAAAACTTTTTTTTAAAATGTGCTCTCTGTCATGAAGGGTAGAGGCTCTGGTCAAATGAGGCCAGAGCTGAAAATTTTAGGCCACCTCTGCTATATCTTAGTTACCTGTAGTGGTGGTGGTAGCATTGCATTGCCTCTCAATAGCAGAGAAGCTGGTCAGTCAGTTATACTAAAAAATTACCAATATCCTAGAGACAAATGGTTAGAAGTTTAAAATGATGCATTAGTGCCAGACATTCAATTTCCAACATGATGCTCACGCTAAACATTGCAAGATCTATGAGAGAATAGATTGAAACATATTCATGTGACAGCAGACGAAGTGTAGACCTATATTTTAATGTTTTTTTTTTTTTTTTAGCTCTACCTTATCCAGTTGAGTGATTTTACAAAAAATAAAACTTATGTTCAGTCTCAAATGATCATAAAAGATATCTGGCTGTTTATACAGTGATAGGCCGTCCTACAAGGTATTGACTCGGAGGTAGAGATTCAAATGAATGCTACTTTTGACAAAAAAAAAAAGACTTAAACCATCCATCTTTCAATCATCGGTACCTGATTGTACTTGAAGTGTTGCATGGAGGCTGGAAGAGGGATATTGGGATATTTCTAGTCCATCACAGAAAAAATGGGATTCTTTTCCTTCCACTTCACAGTAATGCTCTACTGCATGTTGGTTCATTACATAAAATACATCTATAATATATGAAAGTTTGTGGTTGTAACATTAATGAGTAAAAATCTGTTTTTCATTCAAAATAGTTTATTGCTAACATGCAAGAGTGCCATCAAAGTCCAGACCACCACAGATGCAAAAAGTATAGTTTTCTCTGTACAAATATACTGCAAGTATTCAGAAATATATGCTCGAAACAAGAAAAAAAGTTGGGCAGCGAGGTTAGAACTTAAGCTGATCCATTCTTTCAACCAAATATAGGGTTTTGTTATGATAGTTGACATGCATCAACATTACAGTGCAATATACTGGGAGGAGACAGACGCACTCGCATACACACGCAGATGGAATTTGCAATTTACAGCTGACGTGCAGGAGGGAAAAAAAGGGGGAGAAAGGTAGAAATTAGACAAAAAAAAAAAAAAAAAGTACCATTAAGAAGTTTTTTTTTTTTTTAAGATGGTCTCTTAAAGTCATTAAAACATGTCTTCTGCATCCAAACCACCTGTTACATTATGAAGCCAAGGGGGGGACACACTTTGTCTTCTGCAGCACTTTTTGGTTGATCATTTATCAGGAGCACCTTACAAGTATTGGCGTCCTCACTACTTTAGAAACAACTAAAACTACTGGTGCATAGCTTTGTGCTTAAAATGAAGCAACTTGCATCAAAAGTGGCACAACATTCTGTGTTGCAATATTCTGAGAATTGAACTCATCTGTAACAAATGTAAACATGTTGTACCTATGATACTGTTACAGTAACAACACCCTCAAACATTCAGTATCGGAACTCTGGCTGTGCAGTACAGCGCACATCCTGGAGTTTGGTTTCTGGATAGAAGGGGCTCAAGGGTTTTGAACACACCACAAATATAAAGGCCTCTGAAGAACACAGATTTGGCACTTTAACACAATCGGCTGTTTTTGTCTTAACAACTTTATTATTGTCTTTTATAAAAGCAAAGTCTTTTTTTTTTTCTTAAATTGAGCAAATAAATATTCTTGTAATTGTAGCCCTTACCAAACAGTTCTCTCTGACTAATGTTACATTAACTAAAGCAAAAAAAAGGATCAGTAAGATACAGAAGGAAATAGAGGTTTCCTTTCTCATTAAACTGATCACTTAAAAATGTGAGATCTAATCATCTAAAAACTACTTTATTACAAACCACATAGGTGCATCAAATGATTTAGTCATTTCCAAAAACTGAAACTCAACATTTCTGTCACAAACTGGTCTACATTTTCTTTTTGGGGGGGGATTATTTTGAAAAGAAAGCTGATGAAAACACAAAATCCAGGTAAAACGAAATATATTTCATGGTTTGAATGTATTCATTTTATGAGTTGGAGGATAGCTGTGAAGGACACATCGGCACATCAATGGATTCCGCAGTGAGGTTATACAACAAAATATCACTACTAAAAAGTTGAATGTTCAGGATGTGGCAAGGAAAAAGTTACACACAAAGGATGAACGCAGCCTTGTAACAACTGCAAAATTAATCGCAAGAATATTTTGGAGAAATTCACAGGACGTGAAAGGGGCTGCAGTTTGAGTTTCTGAATCAACCATCTGCTGACATACTTTTGTGATATGCAACTTTATACAGCAAAAATGTTCTGAAACTTAGTAAAGATTTCTTAAAATAAGTGTATTTACTCTTAATTTGAGTAGGAAAATAAAATTATCAGCCAATGGAATGAGCATTTTTACCCTTATAAATGAGATATCATGCAATTGAAATAAGACAATGCAATTAGTTCTTATTTTAAAAGTAAATTGTCTTATTCCATTGGCAGAGTGTCTCACTAACCTGCTCAATTCAAGAAAAAAATGCACCCATTTTAAGAAGAAATGAAATTTTTTGCAGTGTAACTTGTCATGTGTAAAACTACTCTTGAACCAGATATGCAGGGAGACTTTTACCTGGGTTAATCCATGTGATATACAAATATAATTGTTTCAAAATGTCATTCAGCTTGTAAATCATTTAGTAAGTTGTTTTTGTTCAGTTCTTTCCTTCCACTCCACTTTCCACAGCCATGCTTTGATACAGCACTGAGCAGCCAGCAATGGCCTTTTGTATTTCACACTACATGTAGTTTTGTGTCATTGATTGACTGGTGAAAAAAATTTACAATCAGCAGTCTGATTTACTGTTTGCATCAAACATTTAAATTTCTGTATTGAAAATATCCAAATCTGCCAAACAATTACCGTAAGAAAATTTCCTGAAAATTTTAATCTACGATCTTCATTTTCTGGAAATCCGTAATCCTCAGTTAACAGAAATAATGTTATTTGTCTGAAATTTCCCTCTGTTATGAGTTTCACTTTTGGAACTAAATTAGAACTTTTAAGTGAAAATAGAAATGCTATCAGATGCACATATAGGTTTATAAAGCAAAGCAACAAAAGAGGTCAGTGTGACGTAATTTATTTTGGTCTTAAACTGTTCCAACTCGGAACATTAGCTTAAGTTTAATGAAGCTGGACTTTAAAGCAAGAGAAATAATATTATGCCCCTTTACAATATAGTAAAGGTTGAAAAAGTATTTAGAGAAAAAATAAATGCCCTTAACCTCCATTTTGATTGTCGTTTTTTGTAACATTATTAGTAGACGTTCTTCTAGTGAATTCTATCCACTAGCCTTTACTGATAAACTGACATTGAATTGTAACATCGGATTGTGAAAGCTGTAACTACCTTCTTCTATTCTGTTTTAAGTTCCCCTAAATGTATCACTTAATTTGCCTGCAAGACAAAAGACAAAAAAAATCTTACACAATTAAAAAACTAAAAAAACTCCACAAAAACAGTGTGCATTCATTTGGACTTGTAAGATAGGTGGTTAGGTAGTAATCAAAGTAGCATCAAGTGTTTTTTTAGCTGGATCGATAACAACAAGAACCAAGCAAACACTAAGAGCGAATCAGCCAACCGAAAGAGAAGACATGCAAAATGTCAAATTGTAGAACAAGAAAGAAAAAACCATGAGGGAGACGTTTCCCTTTCAGACTGACGCAACGTTCCGCGGGAATAAATAATACTTTACATTCCAATGTACATACCTGCCCGCTGCCATTAGGTTCAAACACTGACCAAATAAGCAGATAAAGCGAAACAGCTGGTTGCTCCCACAGTCCAAAGTAGGTGTTGTAACCTACAGAAAAGATGCAATGGCAATAAATATTGCCATCTTTTGAACATAATCAAACCCCAGACATAAAAAAAAAGAGAAAGAAAAACTACAGGAATACAGTCAAGCAGCTTTGATAGCCTTTCAGTTTATGTTGCTCTTATTTCTTCTGTTTCTTGAAGATTTTGAAGGGAAGTTTCTTGCGGGTGACGCTGGGATCTGTGTCTTCTCCTGTTGATCCACTGTCCTCCTCCAGAGGACTTTTCTTGGAGGACAGCTGGGGGATGCGACTGCTACCTTTCACCCCCGCAACTCCTGTTTGGCCTCCTGTTGGGGATGGCGTATCGGGCTCCGTTGAGTTGGGGCTAAAAGAACGGGATGACTCGGAGAAGTTGTTGATCTCTCCCATACTGGGTGACTTCTCCATGGGATGAATCTCCCTCATTAATATTGGGCTGCCGGAAAAAGCCTCTGTGGCTCCGGCTTCATAAATGCGGTTCCCTCCGTTAGAGCTGAGGGAGTGCAGGGAGACGGTGTCGTCTGATTGTACGGGCAGCCCATACACAAGAGAGGTGGGTTTGATTAGACGGCTTCTGGAGCTGTAGGCCGAGAGCCGATCACCAACTTGTGAGAGGGACAACGAGGAGTCCGAGTCGGAGCGATTCAAGTCCCTGTAGGGGCCAAACATAAAATGTTATAGTTAGACAGAAAAAATATTAAAGATTCCAGAGTAATAGCAATTATTGCATGCTCAGGTTTGTCTACACTATGCCTGCAAAGGTGCATGCTCAGCAAAGCCTGGATAGTGCAAATTCACACTTGCTGAACAATGTGGAGAATAAATACAATGAAGAGTGTAAAAGCTTAGAAAAGGAGAGAGCAGCTACTTACAGGTGCTGGTCATAAAATTAGAATATCATGAAAAAGTAGATTGATTTCAGTAATTCCATTTAAAAAGTGAAACTTGTATATTATATTCATACATTACATACAAACTCATATATTTCAGATGTTTATTTTGTTTAATTTTGATGATTACAAATGACAACAAATGAAAATCTCAAATTCATCATATCAGAAAATTAGAATATTGTGAAAAGGTTCAAAATTGATGGCCCCTGGTGCCACACTCTAATCAGCTAATTAACTCAAACCACCTGCAAAAGCCTTTAAATGGTCTTTCAGTCTAGTTCTATAGGCTACACAATCATGGGGAAGACTGCTGACTTGACAGTTGTCCAAAAGACGACCATCGACACCTTGCACAAGGAGGGCAAGACACAAAAGGTCATCGCTAAAGAGGCTGGCTGTTCACAGAGCTCAGTGTCCAAGCACATTAATAGAGAGGCGAAGGGAAGGAAAAGATGTGGTCGAAAAAAGTGTACAAGCAAGAGAGATAACCGCACCCTGGAGAGGATTGTGAAACAAAACCCATTCAAAAATGTGGGGGAGATTCACAAAGAGTGGACTGCAGCTGGAGTGAGTGCTTCAAGAACCACCACACACAGACGTATGAAAGACATGGGTTTCTGCTGTCGCATTCCTTGTGTCAAGCCACTCTTGAACCACAGACAGCGTCAGAAGCGTCTTGCCTGGGCTAAAGAGAAACAGGACTGGACTGCTGGTGAGTGGTCCAAAGTCATGTTCTCTGATGAAAGTAAATTTTGCATTTCCTTTGGAAATCAAGGTCCCAGAGTCTGGAGGAAAAGAAGAGAGGCACTTCATCCACGTTGCTTGAAGTCCAGTGTAAAGTTTCCACAGTCAGTGATGGTTTGGGGTGCCATGTCATCTGCTGGTGTTGGTCCATTGTGTTTTCTGAGGTCCAGGGTCAACGCAGCCACATACCAGGAAGTTTTAGAGCACTTCATGCTTCCTGCAGCTGACCAACTTTTTGGAGATGCAGATTTCATTTTCCAACAGGACTTGGCACCTGCACACAGTGCCAAAGCTACCAGTACCTGGTTGAAGGACCATGGTATCCCTGTTCTTAATTGGCCAGCAAACTCTCCTGACCTTAACCCCATAGAAAATCTATGGGGTATTGTGAAGAAGAAGATGCAATACACCAGACCCAACAATTCAGAAGAGCTAAAAGCCACTATTAGAGCAACCTGGGCTATCATAACACCTGAGCAGTGCCACAGACTGATCGACTCCATGCCACGCCGCATTGCTGCAGTAATACAGGCCAAAGGAGGCCCAACTAAATACTGAGTGCTGTACATGCTCATACTTTTCATGTTCATACTTTTCAGTTGGCCAACATTTCTATAAATCCTTTGTTTTTATTGGTCTTCAGTAATATTCTAATTTTCTGATATGATGAATTTGAGATTTTCATTTGTTGTCATTTGTAATCATCAAAATTAAACAAAATAAACATCTGAAATATATGAGTTTGTATGTAATGTATGAATATAATATACAAGTTTCACTTTTTAAATGGAATTACTGAAATCAATCTACTTTTTCATGATATTCTAATTTTATGACCAGCACCTGTATGAGATGCAATTAAAAACACAATTACTTGGTGATAAAACCAACGGAAATTATAAGTAGAATAAAACGTGTCACACTTGAAATAACCAAAAGTGACAGAAGAAGAAAAGGATTAAAGAAAAAGACCCACACACATGCATACAGAGTAGAGTGAGACTGGTACCCGAGACTGTCGCATGAGGACTGAACTTTGGAGATATAATCAGGAATGGGGTCCATGGGTTGGAAAGCAGCATGATGTACATGGGAGGAATGATGTGCAACACCGCCAGCAACGGTGCTGGGCAAGCAGGAGGAGGAAGAGGACAAGGATGGCAGAGACTGAGGGATTGGGTTGGAAGAACAGATGACTGACGGGTGAGAGACAGCTGAGGAGAGAGTTTGCAGAGGAAGACATTCTAGCTGCCCAAACGAATGACTTCGAGACTGCAGGAAGGCAGGCCTAGGCTTAGACGGATAAGGGTTTCCCTCTCCCTGCTGCCCTGCCAGCAGAGAACTCTCTACCAACCTCTGGGAACCCAATGCCAGCTGGGGGTCAATGTGGCGTTGGCGCAGGGACATCATACTGGGAGCTGCAGGAAAAAGTGACATCATTAGTAGCAAACACTAACAGAAGAGATTTTGATAGACAAGGAAATGTCCAGGGAAAAGATTACTGAGGTGTAAATAAAAATGCAACAATAAGTTTGCTGTGGCCCAAATCAATATCTTCTTTTCTTTGAAGTCTGACCTGCAGATTCATAAAAATGGAATATAGAGAAAAGATGTGCTGCAGGCTTTATGTGGTAAAAGGTTTTGAATCCAAAACAAAAATGATATAAGGTGCTACACATTTATCATGAACACACAAATTTGCAGACTTTTTAAATTTTCCAAATTTCAGATCTAGATTCATCAGCTAGTTAGGATTACGAAAGACAATGGATGGACAGATGGATGGATAGTTGGAAGGCAAAATAGAATGGCAGTTATATTCATCTATTAGTAAGATTCTGTTTATAATGGTATTCATCTCTATACTTATTCAGTAGAACCCATGTCCTGTATTTATGGAACCATTATTTATTCTGCACCTGCTGCTATTGCACTTCTGGTTAGACCTAAACTGCATTTTGTTGCCTTGTACCTGTACCTGTGTAATGACAATACAGTTTAATCTAATCTAATCTAGTAATAATTTTCAATGTTAGTTTTTCACCATACATTTTTTTCACAGAAAAAAACAAACACTGGAACCCTTCTCCGCATTAAAGATAAAGTCCTTTACATGTATTAGATTTTTATTAAACTCAAACTGCTGTATCTTAGTTAATGCTAATATCTGAATAAAAATACGTTTTTTTTTTTTTTTTCATAAATAAAAAAAATAAAATAAAATTTTTTTAGCAATTGTCCAGTTAAACATCAGAGCTGAATATATCTCTGGCTGAATAAATTGGTGCACTTCTAATGCTGGATTGCATTTATATTTCCGCACTTTATCTCAGTATCATAAATGCTTCAGTAATGCACCAGAAGAAAAAAACACCAATTATTTCATATCATTTCAAACTAAGAAAGCAAATAAAATGATTAGAATTGATTGACCTTGAATGACATTAATAAAAAACTACATGTATAGAGAAGGGGGTAGTTATAAATAATAGTAAGGTTCCCAGTTGAACAGCATAAGAAAATTTTGCCGTTTGTTCAGCTGTGATTGACTACATACAATTCATGCGGATTTTGAAATCAAGAGTATGGGTCAAAGGAAGAGGCGATTCGAAGAATAAACTTGGGAATGAATGAAAGCCAACCAGTATATTTCCACATGAACTGGCAATCTGAAGCAATAGGCCACAGGTCACTGACTCGCCGCCCCGGCTGCATTGTGCGATCTAAATAAGGCCAATGAGAGAGTTTTGGAAATCAAAAAGAAACAAAGGTGGTGTAAATGGGAAAGGGAGTGAGAAAGGAGGGTGTAATTAATATTTTTTATGACTTTCACGCGTTAACAATTATGAGCTAACACTTCATGTTTCGCTGAAACAGTTTCTGATCATTTGACAAAACAATTAATTGGTTAACTTAGCTGAACTGTGTGATGTGCTTGCACTCAGACTAATCCAGGTTAAGAGAAAAAGATGGAAATGTATGTAATATTTCTGTGTCTGATGTCAAACCTAAACGATGATCTGAGAAATTACCACACGCAAAATTGTTCTCCAAGTTGTACTAAACCAGGAAAGCACGTTAAAATTGCTGCGCCAAAATATGATCAGAACCAAAATGATTTTAGTAAGTATATTTTTTACTTGACAGTTAATTTTTAAAAAGAAAAAAAGGTCATACAAGGCCTTTTTTAAAATTGGCCCCAGGTTTAAGTAAAAACACTTAAATGGTGGGGAAAGGAAAAAAAAAAAGAGAGAGAGATGCACCATGAAATTATTAGATGAATGTGGCCCTGACCAGTGATAAGCCAGGAAACAAAATCTGGAAAAAAAAAAGCAAAGAAGCAAGTGTATGATTTTTAATTATGTGTTTTTTTTTTTGTTTGTCTTTTATTTTATTTTCCCAGTTAGTAAAAATCACCTAAGAGGTTCCAGGTTGTGGTAACATCATCCTTTCACACTGGCTTGGTGTATATTGTTAAAAATAATATTACTTAACTACTTAAAAAAAAAAAAAAAAAAAGACAGAGGAGAAAAAGGTTTTATGCTGTTTTTGCTATATTAGTAAAAAAAAAAAAAAAAAAAAAAAAAAAAAAATCAGCTAAATGACTGAACAGTGCATCTGTACAAAAAAACGTAAACTGCAACGGTGTCAGAAGACGACAGTTACTTCAACTTACATAAACAACTCGGACAACAATTACTGATGAACATTTTCAACCTAAAACCATCATTGCCTGGGAGGCAGGAAGACAACTTCCAGGAGATATTGAACAACAAGTCCCAATTGTCATGCTGGGTGATTATTTTTCTTTTATTTCTCCATCACAGTCTTTATCTGTTTAGGGATTCGTCTACTACTCCCCACACCTTGGAGTACAGATTCAGAAGACCCCTTACATTGCAGAGTTCCAGGTAAAATCCCTTCATCCAAGTCGTCCATATCGTCCGACATGACAAAGTGCTGAGGCGTGGCTCTGCCACCCATGAAGCTGGCATCAAGGTTGAGGGCTGAGGCCAGTGAGGGAAGGCCTGGATTATTGACTATAGTAAAGCCTGTGAGCACCTCTATCTGCTGCCAGCGGTGCAGCCTTTCCCTCAGAGCAGCAGTCACCTCACCGAGGGCTTGCCTGCAGAGTTATAAAAAAAAAAACATATATAGGAATGCTGGAAATTAAACCCTGGGCTACTTTCTAACAATGTCTTGCAATGTTGTTTGACTTACTTTGCAGCCAATATTTTATGGTCCACATCATCCAGTGAGGAGCTATGAGCCACATGGAACGTCCCAAATAGAGTGTTTCTCTTTTTCTTTATCTTCTCTGCCTGTGAAAAAGCCCCAAAAAGCTGAGCTTGGTTCCAATAATGTAAGTGTTTGAATAATTCAGAAACATCTACAATAATGAGGCCACCACTGTCTTAATCTTTACATTTGATCAGTTCCACTAAATGGCATCTTACTGACACTTTGGTTTTGCTTACCCCTTCTTTGGCCACCAGGAGCTGCCGTTCAGCATTTTGCTTTTTGATGTTGTAGTACTGCACCTCTACCTCATGGGTAAGCTGCAGCCACTTCTGCAGAGGCTCTGGTGGTGACCAGCCACTCCGGGACTCCAGCTCCTTCTCAGCTTTCTTCAGAGCCATGCGCACCTAGAACAACATGATAAGGATAAATGTGGCGCACAACAATAATAAATAACTTTTTTTTCCGTAAATTTCATTAATTTCAGTGACATTAAATTAAATTTCAATTTATATAAAATATAAATGTGCCGTCTAAAAACAACAAACCTGATTTGATTTGTGCAGAGCTGCACAAATCCAAAGGTCACCACTCTATCAGGTTTGTTTAGCAGAGTTTCTACAGCTGATACAAAGTTTCCCATCTGCCAATTAGGGCTGCAATTAATGATTATTTGCAACTGGATAAATCTGTCAAGTATTTTTTTTTTTCCTCGATTAATCGGTTAAAGAAGACTTTTTACGAAATTAAACAAGCTGAAACTCAAGCTTTTCCACTTAAGGAGTTCTGGATAGAGCATATTGACAGATATTTCTTTTATCTTAATGCAAAATGTTTAAATAACTTTTTTTTTCTTTTTTTTTTTACAATTTCCACATAATTACTGCTCTAAGTGTGTTTCTCTGTCAGCTAAAGGCATGTTTCAGAGTCTCTTCACCAGTGTTGTTTTTGACAGCCATCTTACATTTAATCTTAGTCTTCAGGACGAAAACTATTATTAGTTTTAGTCGCATTTTAGTCATTACAATAGGTGATAGTTTTAGTTGGTTTTAGTTGACTAAAACTTAAAAAGGTTTTAGTCCGTTTTATGTTGCAAAAAAAAGTTAAACTTCACAATCAGATTCTTTAACAGACTGACAGCTCTAGCCTTGATACTAAAATTGCTGGGTATAGAATGCTGCTGTGTAGATCATCATTGCTGTTGGGCAGAAAACTTTGATTTATAGAACTCTAATAAACTTTTTTATGAATTAATGCAATACTTTATACAAAAGTGTCACACAAAAACTGTGAAAGAAGCATATCTTATTCAACACATCATAATGGTTAATATAGCAGTCAGACAAGCTAACAAAATATGCAATAAAGGAATGGTTTTAGACATACAATGTTCCCAAAGCAAACACTTCCTGATCTACCATGAATTATGCATTACACACATCAATCAATCTTCATTACTCCAAAAAAGAAAATAACATTCTTCTTTCTACTTTGGCAATTGTGGCTATATTTTTTCAATTTGCCCCTTGGTTACTGCTGGTGAGGGGTCAAAGTAGATATAAAGAAAAATACAGAGAGAACCTACATAATTGCCAGGTAATGCAATGCCAATCCAGACCTAAACTGAATGACTATGCTAACTAAACTGTTGAAATATTTAAATGAAACATATCTTGGACCCGGATCCTTGTACAGACTTTGTTTAATCAGAGCTTCATTTGGCATCAATGCGTTTTATCAACTTGGAACATTTAGGATAGAGATCGGTATATGCTTTGTTTCAAAGATAAAACTGAATTATTCAGAACTGAAGTGTAAATAATTGGGTTTGAATCTTTAACATGGTGCAACTACACATCATATATGCACTACGGGCAGTGGTAATGCTGATACCAATATCGTGCACACAAAAGAGTGAGAATGGATATGGTTGGTTACTTGCACTAGCACTGTGATGTGGAAAATGTCACGACTGAGGTACCTGTTCTAGCTCTTCTTCTGCATACTTCTGCCGACTCAGCTCATTCTCAGAGCCTTCTCGCAGCTCCCTCAGTCGCTGAGCTTCTTGCTTTGCAGCATTTATCTCATTCCTCAGCTTTTGTTCCAGGGTCACCTTCTCCACTTCAACAGACCGATGCTCCTCCTGGGCAATCTGCAGCCTGAAAGCAGGATCAGGGAACAGTTAACTTTTGTTTTATTCTAACTTAAAGCAAGTCATCAGTGGAGACTTCCAAAGCTAAAAAAGGAAATCTTGCTGTCTCAGTATGGTTGATATGTCCTGAGACTACATGGAAGCATTTGAGTGCCACCTTTGTGTGAAATGTGAGCACTGCATCAGCCGTGCAACACCGGAAATAATGGCTGACATGCAAAAGCAGAGCACTGTGCTCAGCTGGTAAGCTGCTCACAATAAACTGACATCAGAGAGAGCTGAGCCAGAAATGGAAACAGCTGTCAGTGAGTAACCTTAGAATAGCACAGTGTGACTTCAAGTCTTTATGTGTTCTTTGATACATGGGTTAGTTTCTAAGCCAAATACATTTTCTGCAAAAGCATGTTCAAAAGTAAAAACTTTTTACTCATGGCTTTAAGGAGACTAATTTTAAAGTGAAAAAATAAACATAAAAAAAGCACAAATAGTATTCACATATGGGCCTACAGGCTAAGGTTTGTTGCAAGGTTAAACATATAAGGTAATTCATCCTGCAACAATGGCAGCAATGTCATTCAAATCTCTGAGGAAGTTTATTTTTAAACTAATTTGTTTAAAAGCAGTTCATGGTTTTGGGCACTAGGGAGCAGCAATCTTCCCAAGTTTCATTAAACAGAACAGCAGCAGAGGAGGGCAGACAAATGAAAGCCGACCAGACCACCAACTATGGAAAAGTGGCTAGTTGGCAGTCCAGCTAATGCATTCAACCCTGACCTTAACTGAACTATAGCAGCGACTTGGACAATCTGCAGCACCCAGAGAAGAGAAAATGCTGCTGTTTAGCATGCAGAGCCAAGCCAACAAGGCAAAGCTCATTTTTTCCTGGTACCAGGAAGTGGTAGTAACAGACAATAACACTTATAAACGTGCATGCCAAATAGCTTTTAAATAAGCACTCCTTGTTCCTACTATTTTTCAGGTGTGTGTGCATCCCACTCCACAATTTAAATCTATATCCAAATGTGGGTGAATTAGCACCACAGCCAACATACTAAGCAGTTGTTCTTATCACTATCTCCCACCACAGTCGTAGTTCTGTGGCAGAGGAAATCCTGCTCTTATCAAAGCTCCCGCTTGCAGTCTCCTAACAGGGAAGCCATGTCTGACCCTGGCTACTTGATACCAGCAGAGGATCTGCTTAAAAGAATGGAAAGAGAGCAGCTGGCAGCAGGGATCAGAGAGAAAGGCTCTACCACACAGAGGACATACCTCATTTTTCTCTGATATAAAAACATGCTAGACCCACCTTACTGCTAGCAGATTTACAATGTGTTAAGTATGAAATATTAGTATTCATTTTGATAATCGATAGCTGTAAACATGTGTAAAATATAATAATTATGAACACTGAGCTTCTACTACCGGGGAGAGTTAGTCAAATGACTAAACAGCAGACAAACTATGATGCAATACAGAACCAAAAACTGCTGATCTGAATCAAATGCAAACTCTTCTATATCTGAGATGCAGCACAAGACAATACAAGCTGATTAAAGTGCTTTGCTACAAAAAAATAAAACATATCTACATTTTTTGTTGCAACAGAAACATAACATAATGAAAAGGCATTTCAATTGAGATAGACCTCCACAAAGGAGGCAAGAATGGTAAAGTGAGACTCATCGGCGATGCTAGATTCTTCTATTTTATTGCAACACATTTTGCAGCATTTACAGTTGCAATTATTTTTCTAAACTATGTTTCCATCAGCTTTGAAAAATCTAGGTGCTGAACATTTGCCCTTTCTTCTTTGGAAAATAGATTAAGCTGATTTCGACTGGATGGAAGGTGTTTTATTACCTGGACCCACATTGGGTCTCAACTATGTCTAGTTTTAATGTTCCTGCTTAAAAGATTCTGACGACCTTGTGATGCTTCCCAAGCTATGTAGTAGTTGGAATGGTATGTCTAAGGTGATGTGTGGGGTTTTTTTTTTTTGCAACTCATGTGACTCATTGTATAAGCCATAATGTTTTTTATGGCTCTAGCCTATCAGACCATCTTCTCCCACATCTTTGCTTTGTTTACTACATGCCTCATGGCAATATGCAAAGTTCTTTTGCCTCTTATTACTATTTTAGCTTGTACTATCCACATACCTTTTTTCACTTTGCTGTTTATTTAAGTATACTAGTATGTATCTTCCAATGGTACCACAAGTTTTGAGTAGAAACAAGCTTGTGCGGGTAGGCAGCCTGAGGCACCACTACTCTTCGTTCAGGGTCACCAAGAATCAAGGCGGGCATCAGGTAGTCGTGTTTCGAAGATACTTGTTCCGTAGACCATAGAATAAATTATATTTATTCTAATGCAACATTACATGATCTGAGCTTTTTTTCCTCAGTTCAACAAACTTGAAATAAATAACTGTCAAAGTGTTGGTCTCTTTTTTTAAATGTTGCAAGCATTTCTAAGAAGAATCTGTGTAGAAAAGGTAGCAACATTACATCAAACTATCAAGGATCAATAATACTGTATTTTACTGTACTTATTTCATAAACCAAGACTTAATTTCATCTTAAAAACCTTAAATAACCACTGCACAGACAGCCAGGTCAAATAATGGGCATCTAATATTAGAGCAAGAAAATCTTGGATAACAAAAAATGCCCTGACCTGTACAGCTAATGGCCGTAAGTATCCTTTTAAGGTATAGGAAGATCAAAGGCAGGCTTTGAAGCACATTCTCAAAATTCCTCCCAGTAATTTACCAAAGTAGATCCACAGATCCAAAAGGATGAAGCTTCTTTATATGTTTTTGGTGGGTTTTATTACCTTTAGTTATCTTAGCAAATGGGCCAACTAATGTTTTGTTCTAGTCTAGTGAACAACTTGAAATCAACAGAACAAGCCAACCTCACACCTTTAAGTCACATAAACTATTCTCCAGCCAGCAGCCCAGATAAAGCTACATTTGAAAGGGAGTTGCTGTTTAATCTGTAAGAAATAATTACAAAGAGCCAACCCCCTATTTTATTTAGATTATTCTATTATATTACTAGCATATATATTATCCTCTTATTTGAGTATGCTATAAATAACTATCGTCTGGTATTTAAGAAAACATGTGATGACAAAGGGTCTATTTAGAGGTGGTTCTGATTTTCCATCAGAGATACCTAGCTCTTGCCCTGCTTTTAAAGTTTTGGCAATCTGGCTTAAACTGCTGCAGGTGATTTTCCTCTAAGAAAAAAGCAGATATTTTCCCCAATTTATGTTTTGTTTGTTTTTATTTCCAGCAGACACCATGCATATATCAAATAACATTTGGCTATTATTATCATCAGCATTAACAGCTACCTTTCCCCTACATTCTGTAGATTCAGTATGGGAGTATGGCTATTTCCAGCAATCCTGACTATATTTGAACCTAGCTTTTGCTAGATGGATAATGGCACGATATAATATGTGAAGTGTTGTTTATTTATATAGCCATTTAAAGAATAGCTTACATTTTTGTTATTACTTATACACATATGTGGGCTTTAAGTTACCATTGACAATAAAGGATAGATGAACAAACAAGATGTAGATAATATAATATTCAAGTTACGTGGAACAGAGACTCATGTATCATGTAACCGTTTGCCATGTGGGTGGTAGGAAAAACCCTTACTTTTGCTGTAGATCATGCAAACTCTGCTCAGCACGCTGCAGGCCTTCCAAGTCCTTCATCATTTTCTTCATATGGTCCTTTGAGTAACGATTCTGTATGTAGGCAAACCAGCAGCCTCCCATTCCTATGACTATTGACACCACAAGCATGAAGTCCTTCAGGTGGTTGTGTCGATTCACTATAGAAAAGAGACAAACCCAAGTTTATTTTAAACTGATAGGTAATAAACTCATTTTCTAAAAAAAAAACAAAAAAACAACAACATTCTATGTGACATCAGAATGTCATATGGAGGGAAAAAAAAAACAGTTTGGTAACGACAGGTGAACTTAGATTCTGATAGGTGTAAAATAAGACTGCATTTCATTTGAGAATAAAGACGTCTAGAATCATTTGTGCTGATGCTTTGTGGAGCAACGTTGTCTGTTGGTACTGGACAACTGTTTTATCAAGTCAATAGTCAATCTACTGGGAAATTATACAGCACTTCATGCTTCTGCTACCATCAAGCTTGACTGGAATGCCTATAACTGGCACCAATGTGCTTGATGGCCATCAAACTTGCCTGAGCTAAAACCGATAGAGAAGCCATGGTATAAAAATCAAGAGGAAGACGAGAGTCAAACTAGAGCCAGGAAAGAAGATATGCTTAGTGCTGATATTAAAAAGGCAAACCAGTCATCTTTAAAACCTCAGCAGGCGGTCGCCTTCATGTCATGCCAAACTAATAGTTATTTATGCACATAATCTACACAACAGTTTCACCTTTTTTATTTAACTCCTATAACTGCAGTTATCTGCATCTTGTGAGGTATAAGTAATCTGGATCAAATGTTATAGCACTTGAACAATGTGCAAGTTTCAAAAGGATGTGGTGTAAGGCACGCATTTCCAACCCAGTGCAAGAAGTGTTGTGGATTGAAACAAATGGGGTCAGTGTCGCAAAGTTTAGGTTGTGGCAACGGGGGCTAAATGCAAAAGACCACAACAGAGACAGGTCAGGACAGCAGAGGCCATTTCAGTCTGAGAACCAGAGCTTGTATTCTGCAAAAAAGTGTTTGTTGATTAATGCAGGGTGCATTAGGACATTTTATTTAAATATCAACGAGTGTGTTGTGATCCTGCCAATGTCAAAAAATAAATGTTAGCTCATTGGAACATGTACCTTTAAAAAGCAAAAAATAGGTTTCAGGTGACTGTCCTGTCAAAGACAGAAATTGTAGGGTTAATCTGTGTCTTTTGCAAACGAAGCACTAGAAAAACTAGTCACGAAAACTTGCCTTTTGCAAGTTGCAAGCTGAGGGAAATTTTCTTCTTGCAAAACCTGATTTAAAGCAAGCAGGAAAGACATGTCAAAATGATACTATTTACTTCCTGGAGTGAGACTTAAGATAAGGTGATTTTGTGGAACAGAATAGAAAAATTCCTGAGGAAATGCCCCAAAGAAATATAGAAGATTACTCTTGACTGTTTTTTTCAGTGCCAAAAATGATCAAGTTTAAATACAGAAAATATTAAAACCCTTGAAAGCATAAATACCATTATCATCATAACCAACCTTTTCATTGTGTTTTTAGAGTTAAGGGCGGATTTTACTTCGGCGACCGCACACATCAAATGTCGCTTCCGTCTCGTCGCAAACCAGTTTTGCTGGTATGCTTCTGCAACGTCGGTCTGGACAGCACTTTCCCGCCAAAGCTCAAGGGGGAGCCTACTCAAGAACTCGCAAGAACTTCGGCGGATGGTCACAAGAACTTCTTCGGTGGCGCCGGCGGGAGTATTTATTTTCCAAAACAACATGTCTGAGGCATCGAACAAGTGGTTGTACTTCCGACCCTCCTCGATCAACCTTTTGTCGTCGTTATCCATTGTTTTTATTACTCCTCGGTTTTTAAAAATGGCGTGCCCCAGCATCAAATCGAGAAGGACGACCACACAGACAGCCGGAAAGGCATACTATTGACCAATCACAGCTGCTTTTTGTCTGTGCACTTCCACTTGAGGTCTGTGCGAGTATGAGACCATCAGACGTTTAGTCAGGATTTTTTTTTAGGTGCGCGACGATGGTTGCAGAACCTATGGACCGGGGGCGTGGTCGTGCACAGAGACAGATTTGACGGTTGCAGAGGCTATGCGTCAGAAGTATAAAGTGGCCTTAATCCTTTTTGGGCCCTGCCCTTAAACCAGATATGTGCCTTAACCTGTGAATAATGATAGCACCTTTGTTACCACATCATGGAGAAAACAGAAAGATATTGAGGGGACACCTGACCTCATTTAGCAACACGGATAAGATGCAGAGAGCAATACCCATGTAGGAAATGATCTCTTTTTTGGAAACGCCTTTCACCATAGGATTATGAAACTATTGGAATCTAGGATTAAGGGACGTAACAACCAAAAACCCTAAGGCATTGGGACAAAGAACAGTCCACAACGAATCTACCCCAAATAGTTTGAGTAGGAAGACAAAAATCAGATCATGAGGCAGATATAGTGTGTGCATAGTGCTTTGCAATACTAAAATTGGATACACTGCTATTCCGTAATGGTTTAATTTGCAATATATTTTGCAACCCTAGTTAGCACCTTATCTTTGTTCTGTCTATACAAAACATTCGCAGATGATGTCAACACACTGTTAAACCAATAACTCTTTCCAAATAACCTCCAGCATCTTTAGCCCCGATAAGCTTTAATGCAACTGTTTATTTACGCTGAGCCAAATGAAGGAGAAAATATCTAACTTCAATTACAGACTAACTGTATAAGTACTTGAATTTCTCTGTCTTTTTTTTTTTTTGATCAATCACTTGTGTAGCAAAAGTTTGAAGGGACCTTTTTCAGGGCCAAACTATTTCATGTGACAAACATAACATAACAAACTAGAGTTTGAGCAGCATGAGGGAATGTATCCTAAGATCAACAGTTCTATCTGCTAAGATACTACAGCATAGTTAAACCATCACTAGTCGAATAATAAATTACTATGTATAGAAAAGTGAGAACAAGATAACTTCTGCTTTTCAGACACTTTAATTGACTTCCCCCATGACCTTGGAAAAGCTGCAACAAAAAAATCTTCCAATTATAAGCTGTAAAGGGCTTTAAGTTACTTGATGTCATCATTTGGCAACTGACAACAATCACATAGGGTTTTCCCTATTCTAGATACTATACAGATGTCAAAAACAATTCAGTTTTTAAGCAAAACACTTTGCTTGATTGCAATACAAAATTTGTTATCTTTCTTAACTAGGGCAAAAAAAAAAGAGAAAATCAAGTCTTCATGTAGAATCGCATTAAGGTGTTACTTCCATTCTTAGCCAACAATAAACAACAGTGTGTGTGTGAGCATGTGTGTATATATGGATGATACAAGTAAATGTTACCTTAGAGAAAAAATAAAGGACCATGATGAATAACCTACTTCCATCTGCCCTGTTGTTTAGAGAACAGTCGAAAGTTATTACACCATTCTTACATACTTAGCAGAGTTTTTACGCCTGGATGGCCTTTCTGACAGACCTGGGATTCTAATCTGAGTCCCTCTGTATTAAAGTGCAAGGGTTTAACTTTTTCAACATCAGGGACTAAACAAAGGCTTTTACTGTACCAGGCTTCCTCAATTCTAAGCCTCGGGGTCCAGCGTCCTGCATCTTTTAGATCTATCTCTGCTTCCACACCTGAACCAAATTCCTTAATTACCTTCTTAGTATTCAGTTAAATTACCCTATTCTATATTACATAACAGTACAAAGAAGAATCTGTTCCATGCAAATGTATTCAGACAGCCCTGTACAACTTCCGCCTGTCTGGTCATTTTGCATACAACATTTTCTGTAGTAATCTTCCACAGCAGCCGATTAGGTTACTACAGGTTCCTACTTTTTTTCTTTTTCCACATTAGCCCCAAATCCCTTTAAAACAAAATGCACTGCTTTGTTTTGTGTTATGAATTAACACATATCAGCCAACAGCTTAGTTTACTACTATGTAGTGAAAATAAGTAGAACAGAGTGGCTGGCTAGTTATATTCTATATTCTCTCTACATAGATGGAGCTCTGCTACTGATATGGATCGCTTCCTCTGTAGCTGTCACACGTCCTTGACAGCTATTCATAATACTCTGATCAATGTAATCTGCCATTATACTTTTAATCCCTATCTTATAAGCCATTAATAGTGCAATTTATACTGAAACGGCAACAAAGCTATGCCAATCAGTCCAAAATTTCTTTGGGTTACTCATTAAACAACAGTCCATCCCTTTCTGTACAGTCAGTATGTCAGCTGGACTATTTGTGGAAGCTAATTACTTTGAGCGGCTGTCAAACCCAGGCTGTCCTTGCTAATGTCTTCCTTCAGGTGTTTGGGAGGGAAAAACACAACCACAATAACACATGTCAGAAACAGACAGTAACACACTGTGTTCTTCTGCAAGCCTTGTATAGTGCAAATCCCTGCTTTCTTGCAAGGCTAATTTAATATTCTTTGAGTCAATTAGAAAGCAGATGAGCTACAACAATACCGAAAATCCAACTATACTGTACAAAATATTTTCAATCCTTTTTCTGGTATTTAACGTTATAACCACAATAAGAAAGTGTTGGGGGTTTATTTGGATAACAATGATGCAATTTCAACTGGATCTGACAAGTATGTAGTTAATAACTAATCCTTTTTGCATCTTTAGCAGAAGAACACCCTGTTCAATAGGGGTAATAACGTGGACAATTCAAAGTCTCTAAATGCAGAGGTTGGGCGATGACAGCAGAGAAAGAGAAAGGGGATGACTATTGTGTTTATCAGTGACAACAGAGAGTCAGTCAGAAAAGAGACACAGTTTGGTTAGTCACACCCTGAAACTGATACAAAGGGTACCGTATATCAAAAGAAGGGTGGCTCAAAAAATACATGATTGGGATGGAATGTTATACCCTGATAATACAAAAGGAAAGAACAATAACTGTACTGCAGGACTGTTCTTTATAAGTATGAATTTATAAAGCCAGGTCTAAGCCAGCCTCATTTGACCTTTGACCAAATTTCACCAACTTTAAGTGCCTCTCAAGCAGGTGGGCATCCAGAATCCCAAATATGGAGGTTTGAATCACTTTAGTATTTTAACAACAGATTGTGGCTCAGCTTCTTACAAGTGCTAAATGCTTTCCTCAAACCTTGGATATAAATCTCTCCCTGCAATCTCTTCATTTGCTTAATGCTTAAATATTTTCAACTTTGATTTTAAACAACTTCAGTGATGACACAACATTTTGTCTATTTAAACAAAAGAGTATTATACATGTCAATGTTCAAGGTTCTTAAGGTGCAGTGGAGATCTTGGAAAAACGGTTCTAGCAAGCTATATTTCTGAACAACCCTTCGGAGCACTCCTCGAAACCAAGCAATGCCGGCAAAACATGTTCGCTTTTATTATGCTGGTGCCTGCAGTTTGGATTATGGACATGAAAAACGCCTTCCAGCCGCCGTGGCAAACTGCAAGGAGGCGACCGGGCCATAGGCTGCTATTGAATGGGATTCCTAGTGACAGTTCACCACCGGTGTAAGGGGTCTGAGCGGCTCCCACAGACATAATATTTGAAGGCAGGATGAACTGACTGCACTGACAATGTTTTTCAGGTGGACTTTCTCACTTCTAAATAGAATCATTAATGTGTCAGGGTATGCGCACAGGGGGGAGGGACAAACAGACGACCATGATTGACGTGTCAGGAACCAATCGTGAAAAACGGACCGTCTTTTGTGATTGGTTGGGGTTATTCATTGATTTCTTACTGTAGCGTGGAACATTTATTTTAATTTCACTTCCAGACCTTCCATTTCACTGCTTGCTAAGCAGCTGTGGGGAGATCTTTAAGCCACATGGTAAAAATGTATCAGAAAAGATCTCCTACTGCACCTTTAAGGAGAAATCAGTTCAAGATTGCCTCTAAATAGTCAACTGAGATCTCATGAAATGTTCTCTCCCTGAAGTAAGTTTGTTTAGCTGTGCAAGACTCTAACTTCACTCTATACCTTTAAACCATGTTGAGCTTTCCTCAGTAAGCATTACATAGTTCGAACTCCTAAAGAATCAACCACCCGGACCCCTTTTTTTCGCTGTGCAAACCCAGGTGAGAGGCAAGGATGGGGAGAAACCAGAAGAGGAGAATGCCAGGTCCATTCTGTGAGCGAGACATTGGTATAAACGGACCAAAAAAAGGCCCCTACTTCCTGTTCTATCGCAGAAATTTTGCTGCAACAAGAGCAAAGTTCCAGGTGGTTCAGGAGACAGATATTAGCAGGACTAATATTACTGAATCTCCTGATAATATTGATATAAAATATTGCATAAATACATTTTTAAAAAGAAATCAAAGTTGTGAGAAATACACACACACACACAAAAATCTGTGCTTTTAATTTTGAAAAAGCTTAAGAAAAAGAGTTTATCACTGAAACAGATTTTGAATTTATACAACTGACTGACTTCCAGAGGATATTTAGTGAAACATGCTGATGCTCAATCACCCTGTAGAAGGTTAAGTATCCTGTTTAAACTCTATGGAGATTCACAACTAAAGACAAGCACAGGAGTTTATATACACTTTTGAAATATGAAACACAAAACACAGTAAACTGTGCCATTAAATTTTTTCAAAGATAACTCTGCCACTAAAGATTGCTATTTTTTTGTGCTTGATATAGGCATCATTGGTCAATGGATAAATATTTTTATTCAGTGTGTAACCATGCAACTCAAAGTGGACCTAAGTGATATCCAATTGAGTAACCTATTAAACTGTTGAAAATCAAATATCTATCCCAGGAATATAGGTTGTTTTTTTATAGCACATAGCAACACAAAATGCACAGAGTACAACAATTTATATATAATCTTTGACATGTTAAAATTGCTACAATGGAAATTAAAAAAAGAAACAAATACATACTTAGGGGGGGTCCAAAAAGAACAGTGTCCAAAGCTTTGAGTTGTAATTTTTGCACATGGCTGCGATCCAGAATCTTCAGAATAGAGACTGTCAGAGTAGCATTCTTTACAGCAAGCCTGAGAGAAAGCAGACACATTTTTACTTTACAGGAAGTAGTGGAAAGGAAGACAACGTTATCCAATTTTTGTTTTCTCAGGTGATTCAAGACAATTTCAAACATATACAATCACATTTAAGAGCAATGATCATCAACAGTGATCATATTGTTTAAACGTATAATTAAGGGAACTGATATTTAAGGTTTCTTTGAAACCTTGGTACAATGTTAGTAGATTAAAAGTAGTTACAAACCAGATATGGGATAATTTAGGTTAATTAAAAAGCACTTAGTAAATTCCTGCTATTGCTTTAAATGCTTCATTCATCCACTACATTAAATATAGCCTTAATTTGTATGGCTATATGGTGGAGCAGTTTGTAGCACAGTTGCCTTTCGATTTGGAGCCTATAAGTTGAATGTTCTCCCTATTCTACTCTCTCTGACTTTCTCCCACAGTCCAAAAACTTCAATCTTAGATATGCATGGCTGTGTGTTACTGTGTCGCCCTGTAATGGACTGGCAATCTATCCTGGGTATACCTCATGACCATGGTGGAAGCAGTGGAAGATGAATAGATGGTTGACTTGATGGACTGACTTAATATGCCCTTACAGAATGTTTTTTTTCTTTGCATGCAGTTAATAGTTGACAGTTGCTAAAATAATTGTCTCATTATCTTTTTTCTTGAAAAAATATTGAAGCCTCCTATTGAAACGGACATCTGTGTTTGACCTACTTTCAGAGACAGAGACAAATTAGCTCATCATAATGGGCCACAGACCAGCGGTTGGCAGACAACAAAATAAGGAAATACAATCATCCACTTAGAGGTATTTACGAATCTTTTTTTCAAATTTCACGTCTTTGAGGGACAGGGCAGAGTCTAGCTTTTGAGTCTTAAGTCTTAATATCTGGAATAATAAATTTTTTAAATCAAATCTATGAGAACTAGTATACCGCTAACCCATCCAAGAATGTTGAGCCGTTTCTCCTAAAACCTTAATTACAACATGATTATTAAATCTTGTAATATTCATTAAAACTCCAATGTGTAGGATTTAGACGAGAGAGAAGACATCAACCCCCATCAACCTTGATACAGGGATCCTACAGCATAAGGCAAGTTAAATTCAAGACTTTTCACAAGAAACACAAGAAAAACCTGCTTGCGACAACTTAACCCAAAGGTTTATTTTAACATAAATGACTGCACTAATGTTTCAAATTTTGAAAAGCTTCCCATACAGGAAGAAAGCTAAAAACACACAAATGACAGACATATTATTTAACTGAATTCACAAACTTTGTTTTAGCAGGGAACAAAACAAATCAGTTTTAAAGCTCCAACATAACCAGTGCTAAGTCTTTTTTGCAGCTATTTTTCTTTGTATCGTTTTCTTAGTATGTTTGATTTGGTGATAAGTGGAGGCGTTGCAGAGACAAGGGTGGAACAAAACTGAGAAATACCAGCTGTTTCTCAGTAACTCCATTTTGAAGCTTTGTGTTTCGCGCTTCGCATGTGCGACTCCACTACCTTAATTCCCATCGTTCCGAGCTTGAATGACTTTTTGCACAAAATACACTGTGCCTTATGTATGTTCCCTGGTTTTAACCATGGAGAAAACTATTGGCTGGAGCCATTTTTCATTTCATTTACACTTGCTCATATTTTCCAGACAAAAAGTTAATAGCGCATCTCCCAAATGTCCCGGCCGCAACAACGCTTTTATTGGTTCAGCTATTTGGACGGAACCAATAATGGCGAGCTGTTATTTTTTTTAAACAAAAAAATAATAATAATGTCCATTTTAATGTTTTATTTATATTACAAAAATAAATCGTAATAAAAATAATCCTATTTATGATGTTTTAAAAATTAAGACCTACGAAAGACTGATTTAAGACATTTTAATACCATTTAAGGCCTTAGTTTTATTTTGAAGAATTCAATGCCTTTTAAGACTTTTTAAGGACCCGCGGGAACCCTGTTGATAAATCTACTAAAATTATATAACGCATGGAAAATCACATAAATGAAAGAAGCATATGGTCGCCTCTGATATGGCATATGAAAAATAATAGCAACTGATAACTGTTGCAACTGAGCTAGTCCAGTTTAGGCAAACAAACTAACCCTCTCTGCCAGGACAAAGCAGCTGCTGCCCTTTTACCAACATAATGCTACAATAAACTTCACTGTAATATTGAGTTCTAAACAGCAAAGATGTTTAAAGTCGTAGGGAAGCGGCGGTTCCTACCGTTACATTTCTGAATTCTGCCGAGTGGTGCCCGACTTTACACGAGAGAATAAAGTGAATGTGATTGGTCGTTTATCAAGAGAGCGGGATTGTTGTGGCGGAAAGTCTGCAAGCAAATTTGATTGTAGCCGGTTAGCAACTTAGTGCTAGTAGGTTTCCAATGGGAAATTACATTGGGACCAAGTAGCATCTAGCAACAACACTGTCAAGGAACGCTATGGACAGCGGAAACATGCAAGAGGAGCAGAGTTTTGTGTCTGAGGTCGTGGATGAGTCTCCTCCGTCATACATTTTTTATTTAGAGGAGGAAAGCAGGGACAAAGTTGATGTGGAAGAGGACGCCAGGATGGCAGAAGCTTGGTTTGATGTAGAAGGGTTACAGACGTACATGTTTGAGCCCTTGCCTCACAACGCTGCCAGTTCTGTTAGCTCTATGCCTGCCGAAGACAGACGTCCATCCGCATGAAAACTGGGACGGAACTCAATAGTAAAGTAAATGACTCTTATTTCAACTGTTGCATATATTTGCTGCAACCTATGTATACAAATGCAATGACTGAAAAAATGTGATTGACAGATGACTGTTGATATATAATTGGCAGCATTTAGGTGTACAGGCTGATGTATTACTAACTGGCCGGCATAAGATAACGGAAAAAACCCCACAGATTTTAAGACAGGATTTTTTTTTTTTTTTATAGATATTTTTTTAAATTTTGGGACAATATCATCTGATAAAGAGTACATTGATATGCATGTTTAAAGGGGCATGCGATTTTTGTTTTTTTTACATTGGGCCCTTAATTATACGTTATTACATCATGTTCTACTCACCTTGGAGCTGTTCTGAAGACATTCCGTTAGGTTATATTCAAGTAACGTCTTCCTATGGGCAACGAGTTAAAGGCACAAACTAAGCTGTTCATAATTTATTCTTCATGGTACGCCAGCATTCATAACATGTGGGCAAATCACTGTCCCCCAGACATCCGCAGTTATATTTTTTACATTTATATACACTCACCGGCCACTTTATTAGGTACACCCTGCTCGTTAACACTTAATTTCTAAGTAGCCAATCACATGGCAGCAACTCAGTGCATTTAGGCATGTAGACATGGTCAAGACAATCTCCTGCAGTTCAAACCGAGCATCAGTATGGGGAAGAAAGGTGATTTGAGTGACTTTGAACGTGGCATGATTGTTGGTGCCAGAAGGGCTGGTCTGAATATTTCAGAAACTGCTGATCTACTGGGATTTTCACGCACAACCATCTCTAGGGTTTACAGAGAATGGTCCGAAAAAGAAAAAACATCCAGTGAGCGGCAGTTCTGTGGGCGGAAATGCCTTGTTGATGCCAGAGGTCAGAGGAGACTGGCCAGACTGGTTCGAGCTGATAGAAGGGCAACAGTGACTCAAATAACCACCCGTTACAACCAAGGTGGGCAGAAGAGCATCTCTGAACGCACAGTACGTCCAACTTTGAGGCAGATGGGCTACAGCAGCAGAAGACCACACCGGGTGCCACTCCTTTCAGCTAAGAACAGGAAACTGAGGCTACAATTTGCATAAGCTCATCGAAATTGGACAATAGAAGATTGGAAAAACGTTGCCTGGTCTGATGAGTCTCGATTTCTGCTGCGACATTCGGATGGTAGGGTCAGAACTTGGCGTCTACAACATCAAAGCATGGATCCATCCTGCCTTGTATCAACTGTTCAGGCTGGTGGTGGTGGTGTCATGGTGTGGGGAATGTTTTCTTGGCACTCTTTGGGCCCCTTGGTACCAATTGAGCAACGCCACAGCCTACCTGAGTATTGTTGCTGACCATGTCCATCCCTTTATGACCACAATGTACCCAACTTCTGATGGCTACTTTCAGCAGGATAATGCGCCATGTCATAAAGCTGGAATCATCTCAGACTGGTTTCTTGAACATGACAATGAGTTCACTGTACTCAAATGGCCTCCACAGTCACCAGATCTCAATCCAATAGAGCATCTTTGGGATGTGGTGGAATGGGGGATTCGCATAATGGATGTGCAGCCGACAAATCTGCGGCAACTGTGTGATGCCATCATGTCAATATGGACCAAACTCCCTGAGGAATGCTTCCAGCACCTTGTTGAATCTATGCCATGAAGAATTGAGGCAGTTCTGAAGGCAAAAGGGGGTCCAACCCGTTACTAGCATGGGGTACCTAATAAAGTGGCCGGTGAGTGTATTTTTTTAAATAAAGTGGAGTGTGTATGATGTCATCCGCGGGCCTGACAGGAGTTGTAATAGGCAGCCACAGGTGGCTTTGCTCTACCCCTTCTATTCATTCGGCTAGCTATTCTAAATCGTTCAATTCCATTTCGAGAGTGAGATCATCTGTGGTAGTAGCAGTAGACATCTTCTAGGCATGTGAGTGAAACTAGAAGCAGTTCAGCGGACAGGAAGAATGAATGGTAGCCATTCATTCATCCTGTCCGCTGGTAGCCAATGGGTCAATGACCCATTGACTTTCAATGAGCGCCAAACGCCACAACCTCCAAGGCACGATTTTCTGTCAGATCGGTAAAATCGGATTTGGTGTGTTCTGGCCTTTTTTTTTTTTTTTTTTTTTTAACAAGAGATAAAGACTGTTATCAATACTAGTGTAGTTTTAAGACACAGGGCACAGGTTAATTCGGAAGCCTTATTTTTTAAGCTTTTAAATCAAAGGTCTTAAACTGGATCACAATCTCATTCCTTACCTTGGCATAACACTTCCATTGAAAGCCAGCTTGCGAAATGCATCCACATACTGAGGCAGTTCCACATAGCTGATGAGCCACTCCCCCACTTTATCTACAGTCCAATTATACACTGAAAAATATGAAGAATGACTCAGTTGAAGTTGTTTAACTGTTCATGCATTTTAGAAAGTTACACTTTAAAAGGGGAAAAAAAAGGTTCCTGAAACCACCAAGAATTAAAGACAAGCAGAGAATCTTTAGCAAAGAAAATGTTCCAGATGCATGTGATGTAAGTCTCTGGGAACTCTCATATCTTTAGAAACAGCTCACAAATGAAAAACAATGTTCATATCAGGTCCCTTTACTTGAATTACAATGGGAACCAATTATTTCTGTATCAATACTAATCGAATTCTGTGTCATTTTCATAGTGTACCATGTTATCATGATATGAAACCAACTACATATCCTGAACAAAAATGCTATAACATTTCATGAACATCCTAAATCAACCTTGGTATAGAATCAAAAACACCTCCTGTCTATGTTGGTACATTAAGATTTAAAAACAAACCTAGCTCAAAAGCCCCAGAGCATTATCTAGAAGCTGCAATGCAGGGTAAGTGAGCACTACAAGCAAAAAATGGTGTCTGAGCAATACATCAGTACAAGATACAACAGAGCTCTCTCTGTAGCAGACAGACCAGCCAGACTAATAATCTGAAGCAGGAGAGAGTGAAAGTGGATTTTGTGCTGACAGAGTCAATGATGTCCACTTTGCTACTACCTACACTTGATAAGACAACTGTTCTTTAGTCCACATGAAATCTAATCAACTGCTCTGGTGCTTCATTATGAGAGCAAGGGGTGAAGCATGCCAGGGGTGAAGCGTGAGCTCAGCTGCGAGTCAAAGAAGTTGTTGAGTAAAGTACTTAAATGTAATATCAACGCTAATCATATTACAGGAAAAAAACTGTATTAAAACTATCAGAACAATGTTAGCAGGAAATACCACTGATTTCCTCTTTTTTTCACACTGTGGAAATCCTTAAAGATGACACAATCAATCCAAATACTGCCAACTGTGTCATTCTGACAAACAGTCTTTCAACAGAAACGGCTAGAACAGAGTTTTAAAGCTGTACCTTCAGAACCCTTCCATGCATTCCACAGATCCTCCACACTAATGAACTGGTCATCGCCATGAAAGCTGTTGTGTTTGGCCTTGGGGTCATGGTAGTTAAGGTCTTCTCGAAGGAACTGCAAGATTACAAGGACTCTTGTTATAAACAAATAACATTTTAAAGAGTAAATCAGCACAAATTAGGTTCCTGCAAAAACTAGCTTAAGGCATTAATTTACCTTTCACAAAATATAAAGAGATGTAAACCACATAACAGTATATATTAAAAATAAGAACTGTATCAAAAAGGTTTAAATTGGGAGTGTTTCATTTTACTGAACCTTTCCAAGAAGATTTTTGTTTATTTTTGGTTGTGTAAAAACAAAGCAAAAAAAGTAATTAGCTGGTAGGAACACTACAAGAAATTTAAAATATAGCAGGTAATTTGGCATGGTGCAGCTACAATTTGTACAAACCATAAAAAGCCCCAAATATAGGTTAACTGTTTCGAAAAGCAACAGATTATCAGATGTCTCAACCGCTACTGCAACATAAATGGTAGCTTATGGATTTGGCATGAATATAATAAAAACAAATGGATACATCCTGTCTCTTATGATGATTCTTAAAGGTAGTGGTGTTGAGATAGTGTGGGAAATGTTCTTGACAAACTTTGGACCATTTATCATAAATAGAGCATTGTGTAAATTCCACAGCTTCTAAGTACTGTTGCTGACCATGTCCACCCAGTTTTGAACACGGTGTACTCATCCTCTGGTGGCAGATCTTCACTATAATAACGCACAATGTCACAAAGCTAAAATCCCCTCAAACTGATCACTTAAAGATAATTCTATTCCATGATCTCTGCCATCAATACACTCCAACAAAAATTTATAAAATAAGTGCATTTATTATTGAATGGAGGGGGTAAGTGAGTCAATAACATACCGTATTTTCACGACTATAAGGCGCACATAAACGTCTTTTTTTCCCCTCAAAATGTGCGGTGCGCCCTATGGTGCGGTGCGCCCTATGTGTGTTGCAACTGCGACTTTTGAGACCACCTAATTGAGGAGATGATAAAAGAGTGGCTGAATGTAAGGAGACCAGGTGTTTTTTTTTTCCACACCATCGCTGTTAATCTGACTCCATGCGTGCCCATCTCACAGCTGATGTGAAAAACATGGTGAAACAAATTAATGCTGTGCTCGCTGTGAACCGGACGCAGCAGGTGCAGCAGAAGCAGCGAGTTTACATGCAAAGTCAACGGTTGACGAGCGTATAGACGCAGCAAAAGGTCCCGCAGCGCGTTTTGAGCGAGTCGGGAGCGCACCGTCAACGCGCTGCTGCTGCTCGAGATGGAAAAAATTGAAGTTTTGCTGCTGGAAGCGCCGCATCAACGAATCAGAGAAGCTGATCTGGGAGCTGACAGCGAGACAGACACATCGCTCTGATGACATATGATTTTAAAGCAAATGAAAGGGCTGGATGGATGAGATGATGAAAGCGTGGCTGAGGGAGGTGTAGGCTATGTGAGGAGACCAGGTGTTTTTTTTCCACGCATCACCATCGCTTTTAATATGTGACTCCATGCTTGCCCATCTCACAGCTGATGTGAAAAACATGGTGAAAAAAAATAAACGCTGTGCTCGCCGTTATCTCGGGGGTCTGACAAAGGAACTTCAACCGCTCGACATCGGTGTGAAGCGGCCGTTCAAAGTAAGGCTGCGAGCGGCGTGGGAGCGATGGATGACAGACGGAGACCACAGTTTCAGGATAAGTGGAAGGCAGCGCCGGGCAAGTTACGCTACCGTTAGCAGATGGATTGCAGATGCTGGACTAGTGTCTGCTGGCTCTGTTGTTCAAGCTTTCGCAAAAGCCGGCATTATTTCTGAGGAGCCGCCCGGCACGGAAAGTGACTCTGACAGCGCAGAAGGGGAAACTGGCATGTCTGATTTAGTGCAGCTGTTTAATTCAGAAACAGAGGATGATGACTTTGATGGGTTTGATTAATACTTTGTAATAAATACATTAATAAAGCACAATCATACTCAGTTTTGCTCCCGCTCTATTTTTCTACCTGAAAACTTAATTCAACAGCAGCCTCTGGGCCGTGTCTCCTCCTCTTCAGCGCGGTGGCTGGCAGGTGTTTTTTTATCTAAATAATCTAAATCTTGCAGCTATATTTGCTGTGATCAGTGGGAATAAAGTAGTTTTAATATGTTTTTAAGTGAGAAAATACACCTGAAAACTTCATAATTGCAGTCAGTTCATCCAGATTATCTATTTCTGTCGGAGGCTCTCAGACCCCCACATACCAGGGGTGCACCGACAGCAGAAATCCATTCATCAGCAGCCTCTAGGCTGGGCAGCCTCCAGGTTCACCGGCGGCTGCTGGCAGGTGTTTTTCATCTAAATAATTTTAGCTGCAGGCACCAGGATACCGGTAATAAAAGCGAACAAATTCCGTCGGCAGGTTTCAGGATTTTAAGTTAATTTAAGAGTGATCACAGCGCACTGTCATCTGCGATGTGTCTGTCTCACGGCCAGCTGCCAGGTTTGATTAATACTTTGTAATAAATACATGAATAAAGCACAGTCATACTCAGTTTTGCCCCCGCTGTATTTTTAAATACGCAGTAGAGGTATTTAAAGGTAGTAGAGGACATGTACCTGTATATAAAAAACGCGCCCTATAGTCCGGTGTGCCTTATGTGTGTGTTAAATACAGAAATGGGACACATAACTGAGAGTGCGCCTTTTAGTACGGTGCGCCTTATGGTCGTGAAAATACGGTAAATTACATTTAAAATAAGAAAAAATAGCAACTGCATTGTCTTATTTCAAGTGTATAGTATATAATAGTATATATCATTATTTATATTAAGAGCAAGCATGCTAATTCCATTGGCAAATCATTTTATTAACCTGCTCAGAATGAGGGCAAACACTCATATTTAGATTGTTTTTTCATTGACAAAAAGGCCATTGTATAGAGCAACACGTGGATTTAGTGACAAAGGTGAGCCTTTCGTCACTGCTGTGGGATTTAGGGATCAATAAAAAAACTAAACAAAAACCTGGGTTGCTGGTGGCATGAACCGGTTTGATATTCTGATGGTATTATAACCAAAAGCAAAAATAAAATAATATGATTACACCTCTAAATTCTGTTGTAATGACATGCATGAATTAAAAAGTAGGAAAATTATTGAATGCTTCTTGATCTTCAGCATAATCACTAGAATCATAAATAACTTGACGATGTAAGCCTTTTTTTAGAACACTTTTAGAAGAAACAGAAATTACAATGAATGCACAGAATGAGCTGCTACAGTCACAGAAGGATTAAGTACTTTTAAATCACTTTTAGATCCTATATTAAGAAAACTCACATAAACATTTTATAATAGATGTATCCTGAAGCCTGTAAATGAGATTAATAAATCATTGCCTTTCTCCACCTCATAGAACCTCAGAACGCTCTGCTTGTAAAGCATTCTGCTTATGATGCCATACCAGGAAGTAAAATGTCCAAAATGTTCTGGAGCAGCTCATCCTTCAAGCTATGACCTTGATCAAATGTTTTATCTTATTCTAAGGCTATCTTTATGAAATCTGACTGGTTGTCATGGTTGCAGGTACCAGTCTTTGAGAGGACAGGGGTGAGGAAAGCCAAACAGTTCTTTTAGAAGACAGCTGAATAAGGAGATTTTTGGTAAAGGCTGCTTGTCTAATCTAATCTAACAGGAATTTTCCTGCGGAAATGGTAAAAATATGCTCCAAGGGCCTCATTGTTAATATTTAGCATTTATAAATGTAGAATAATATGTGACCTTTAAAACTAATCAAATACACAATTAAAAAAATCCAAGGTTGGGGAGGTTCGAGGTTCTCCTCTCCTTCATCCATCATACAACCTTTAGAGCTAGCAGCTACACTGTGCAGTGTTAAGGGAGGGGTTGGATGCTGCTGCTCCCAACCTCTTCACTCTTTCTGATTACATTTATACATGTATGTAAAAAATGGTACGACTGAAAACTTGAGTGGTTTTGAAACCGTGGTATAAAGGGAAACTGGTAACTGGTCCATGCCTAGCTGGTGGTTTAGTGGGTGGTTTGTAAATGCACAAGGCCATCATGTCAACACGGACAAAAATCTTTGAGGAATGTTGCCAACACCTCCTTCAATCTATGAGTCAAAGAGAGATGGAAACAAGGAGTACTGAATAAACTCCCTAGAGTTTATGTCACCCACCTCCATCTAGTAAACAAAAAGAAATAATTAAAACTGATTCAGTGTGATTTCATGTAATCATATCATGTAACATTGAGGTTAATTTTACTATTATTTTACATTTTACTTTATTTTGCACTCATAAAATGTTGCAAGGTATTTTGGGTTTTAAGTACATAAATCATTTTAAAAAACCACCAGAATGGCAGTCATAACCTGACTGGTTCTAAAGCCTCAATAATGACTGTTCACTTGATTTTAGGCCAAACCACCCACCCAACCACCGACACAGTTTTTCTACTTCTTTTTTTTTTTAATGAGCCCCACATAGTACTCCTACTATTGTAAAGTGAACATAAGAAAAAGAGGGTAATAAGCCACCATAATGGTCCTTCCTGACAAAGTGTTGTAGGAGGATTTAACAACTTAGGGCCAAAATAATTGGATATTCTAAATAATAAAATGTCTGACATAATCCAGATCCAAACTCTACTCTTGAAATCCTGCAACAATCTTTGATGTTGATCAAAATCAAATTAGTTTTCTTAAAGTTCAATACACAAAAAAACACAAAAATATAATTCTCAAAATACTAACAACTATTTTTAGTCACATTACTCAGCCCTAGTTTGTGCTAAATCTTAATACATATGTTAAACTGTCTACGAGGATTCTTATGCAAACTTTGACATGTGAGAAGAAACAAACTGAACTTCTCTGGCCTTCATACTAACTAGAACATAACTAGTAATGCAGCAGCATTATAGGAAAAGCAGTCAGCAAAATGTTTTACTAACAACAAGCAGCAGGAAGGTCATTACTAGAACATTATTGTCTCCGTTTGGTTAATTATTTGACAGAACCCTCAGCAAAAACATTACTGGAGCGACAAACGGGGTCAATCTTTCAGATACCACAGCTAAGTTTAGACCTTTGTAAAGCTAGGCTAATTTGACAATTTAAGAGCAAAATGTAGAAAGCAAAAAGAGAATAAAAAAAAAACATTTTAAAGCATGGGTCGTCAACTCCAGTACTCATTTCAACAAACCTGAGTCAAATAATCAGGTAACTAGCAGAGTTCTAAAATGCATAACGAGGAGACAATTCAGCCATTTAATTCAGGTGTGTTAGACCAGGACACATCTAAAGGCTCCTGGACATGTGACCTCTAGAACTGGATTTAGAGATGAAATAAAAATCTCTTCGATAAGGATTCCATTCTTGATGTGTGATTTTCAAGTACTTACTCCATCTGTCTCTACTACGTCTACATTGCCGTTTGCGTCATCATCCATCTGCTTATGGATACTACGGATAGCCTCAAAGGTGAGGATGGCGTTGTCATCTTTGCATAGTGGTTCATCGATACGACAAAAATCTGAGAAAAAAAACAAACAAAAAAACATTAAAACATTTCTTCTTAACAGCTAAAAGTACACTAACGTTTCTAAGTTTAGACAAACAAATGAATGCCTTTAATTTATGAGAACACATGTACACTATATTGCCAAAAGTATTTGCTCACCCATCCAAATTATTGGAATCAGGTGTTCCAATCACTTCCATGGCCACAGGTGTATAAATTCAAGCACCTAGGCATGCAGACTGTTTTTACAAACATTTGTGAAAGAATGGGTCGCTCTCAGGAGCTCAGTGAATTCCAGCGTGGAACTGTGATAGGATGCCACCTGTGCAACAAATCCAGTCGTGAAATTTCCTCGCTCCTAAATATTCCACAGTCAACTGTCAGCTGTATTATAAGAAAATGGAAGTGTTTGGGAACGACAGCAACTCAGCCACGAAGTGGTAGGCCACGTAAACTGACGGAGCGGGGTCAGCGGATGCTGACGCGCATAGTGCGAAGAAGTCGCCAACTTTCTGCAGAGTCAATCACTACAGACCTCCAAACTTCATGTGGCCTTCAGATTAGCTCAAGAACAGTGCGCAGAGAGCTTCATGGAATGGGTTTCCATGGTCGAGCAGCTGCATCCAAGCCATACATCACCAAGTGCAATGCAAAGCGTCGGATGCGGTGGTGTAAAGCACGCCGCCACTGGACTCTAGAGCAGTGGAGACGCGTTCTCTGGAGTGACGAATCGCGCTTCTCCATCTGGCAATCTGATGGACGGGTCTGGGTTTGGCGGTTGCCAGGAGAACGGTACTTGTCTGACTGCATTGTGCCAAGTGTAAAGTTTGGTGGAGGGGGGATTATGGTGTGGGGTTGTTTTTCAGGAGCTGGGCTTGGCCCCTTAGTTCCAGTGAAAGGAACTCTGAATGCTTCAGCATACCAAGACATTTTGGACAATTCCATGCTCCCAACTTTGTGGGAACAGTTTGGAGCTGGCCCCTTCCTCTTCCAACATGACTGTGCACCAGTGCACAAAGCAAGGTCCATAAAGACATGGATGACAGAGTCTGGTGTGGATGAACTTGACTGGCCTGCACAGAGTCCTGACCTCAACCCGATAGAACACCTTTGGGATGAATTAGAGCGGAGACTGAGAGCCAGGCCTTCTCGTCCAACATCAGTGTGCGACCTCACAAATGCGCTTCTGGAAGAATGGTCAAAAATTCCCATAAACACACTCCTAAACCTTGTGGACAGCCTTCCCAGAAGAGTTGAAGCTGTTCTAGCTGCAAAGGGTGGACCGACGTCATATTGAACCCTATGGATTAGGAACGGGATGTCACTTAAGCTCATATGTGAGTCAAGGCAGGTGAGCAAATACTTTTGGCAATATAGTGTATCTCAATTAAAGATTTAGTATACATCTTTGTGGATGCAGTACATTGTAACATATATGAGCTGATTATTTCTGGTTGCTAACAATTCCAATTTATAGAGAATGGACAGCCAAGTTTTGTATCATTTAAAAGGAGACCATTAAACACCATTTAATAGATTAACCAAAACTAGCAATACAAAAGGCTCCTCAAATAATAAATCACCGACAATTTTTCCTGGAACTCAAAGAACTTTGGATTCTCCACTTATCTTCTGGTTCTGCAAAATAAATCCTTAAAAGAAAGTCAAATCCATTTCTATCAGAAAAAAAGGACTTTAGTCCAGTGAGCAGAAGTTTCTGTGTTGGTTTTTAACCATTTCAAGGTTGGTCTAGAGTCTAAGGTTGGCTTATCACAAAGAATCTGACATTTAGCCTTTGTTCCCACTGATGGTCTCAAGTCACATTTTTTTAAGAAAATCTGATGTTTTTGCAATGTTGTAGGGCTGGATTAAAAGGCAAAAACTTAAGTTTTCTTAACTTTGGTCAATACAATAAAATAAAATATAAATAATCCAAAATAAAAGCCTCTGAAAGATTGCCAAAAATGCTCACGACTGAATTTTTTACAAATGCGGGAAAGTTGTATTAAAAGTCGTAGGGAAGCGGCTGTTCCAACCATTGCATTTTTGAATTCTCCCGAGTGGTGCACGACTTTACACGAGTGAATAAAGTGAACGTGATTGGTCGTTTATCAAGAGGGCAGGATTGTTGTGGCGGAACGTCCACAAGCAAATTTGAAGATGCCTCCGGTGTCTCGGAGGCATCTTGCTAACCAGTTAGCAACTTAGTGCTAGTAGGTTCCCAATGGGAAATTACATAGCGACCAAGTAGCACTAAATTGAAACTTAGAAATGATACTGTCAAGGAACGCTATGGACAGAGGAAACATGCAAGAGGAGGAGAGTTTTGTGTCGGAGGTGGTGGATGAGTCTCCTCCGTCATAATTTTTTTTTTTATTTAGAGGAGGAAAGCGGGAACAAAGTTGTTGTGGAAGAGGACGCCAGGGTGGCAGAAGCTTGGTTTGGTGTAGAAGGGTTACAGCCGTACATGTTTGAGCGCTTGCCTCAAAAAGCTGCCAGTTCTGTTAGCTCTACGCCTGCCAAAGACACAGACGTCCATCCCTGTGAACACTGGGATGTAACTTAGTGGTAAAGTAAATGATTCTTATTTCAACCGTTGCGTATATTAGCTGCGACATATGAATCAATATGCTATTACCGAAAAAATGTTATTGACAGATGACAGTTGATATATGATTGCCCGAATTTAGGGGTACAAGCTGACATATAATTACCTGGCCTGCATAACAGAAAAACAAATAAAAAAGAAAAAAAATTCACTGATTTTTTTTTTTTTTTTTTGAAATTATCTAACTTTTGGGACAATATGGTCTGATAAAGAGTACATTTATATACAAGTTTAGGCCAGGATGATTTGAAATTTAAATATGACTTCCCTACGACTTTAAAGAACACTTAAACTTCAATCTCTTCAAAAGTAGGTTCAAAAACCATGTATTTGATAAATATGCAAAGGATAAGAAATGATGATGATTATGAATTTTCAGGATCATTCAAATAGCATACTGGCTTTATCATATCTGTCTGATGAAGTTGATGCACAAAGGCATGCATTGTATGCATGCCTGTAAGTATATCCATTGTGAAAAATGGCTCCTATTAATCATTAAAGCCATCTTCTCTGCTGGTATGCGTACACACATTTACACCATTGTGTATAGGCGCTTATGCATGCTTGAATGATACACTATGAGTAATGAACAGTAGAGCAAAAAGATTTGCTATAAATATGTCCGTAAAGTATATATTGAGTTCTGCATTTATGAATGTATACATATGTCATACTTCTGTATTCTTGAGACTTGTGATGCAACATTGGTATTTTTTGTTAAAAGCTTTGACCTTTTTCATACTCCTTTTGAGCAAATGTGCTATGTTTGCAACTATGTTTGTATACTTGTACAGTTTCTTCTTCTCTCTCATTGTATTTTTTTATTTGCTCAAATAAATAAAAAAAATGAAAAATACCAATAATCCCAAAAGTTACTTTGTGATGTAATTGTTCTTTTAATCTCGAAAAGCTGTCAGAAAAAGGCATTCTTCTTTAACAGAAGCCCTTTCCATCTAAATAACCAACGACAAAATTCCTTGTCTACAGAGAAAGCATCGTTAATATTAAGCATTTGAGTCTGTCTCTGTTCAACCAAGAACCCCACTGAATTATCTGAACGTATCTGCCATAAATGTCTGTAAAGTAATAGCTGTCAGATCTAAAGCATCCGCTACTTAGAGGTCAGTCTTTAAAATTGTGGACCTTAATTTTTTTTCTTCCATTATCACAATCCTGTATTACATAAAATGGGCAGAGGCTTTTAACTTCCTATAAACAATTTTGTAAAACCTCGCCTTTTTTCGAATTAGTTTAAACGCCCAGTGTGTAGCTCCACAGTACTTTCTGTATATTATAAATGCAGCATAGATCTGAGGAGTAAATAGGGAGAAAAAAAATGGGGCTCTCCACAGACACACAGGAACCACATCATTATGGCACTACATAATTTGATGGCGTGCAATTGCAGGGCAAGGTTATGACATTACTATAATGGCATTATAGTCTAACACAGTGCTTTGTAGGATAATGGTTTGTCCCCTTACATAATTGTTACGTTTTTGAGCTTTTGGACAACAAGATTTTTTTTAAGATTAAACAAATTTTTATCTTAGTTAAAGGTAACCTGCGCAAATACTAAACGCAAAATGAGAATTTCATTCATTGAGGAAAAAAAGGTTACCTAAACCCACCTGGCCCTATGTAAAAACTGTATTGCCCAGTAAACCTTAAAGTGGTTGTGCCGCTCTTTGTAGGAGTATTTTAAAGTGAAGTTGATGCATCTAAATTGAATTCAAGGCCATGCTTTCTGTAGGCCACTCAGAAACCCTCATTCTGATGAACAAGCTTGTTTGCTTTGTATCATTGCTTTGCTGAATAATCCCAGTGCGTTTAAACCACTTGCTAAAATGCTCCCTGACAATTTTCTGGTAGACAGTAGAAATCTATCAATTACAGCCAATCATTCAGGTTATAAACACTGAAATAAAGTGAGGTCTGCAGCAGGGCTGCACCATTGTAAGGAAAATATGAGAAAATATTTGACCGTTACCATGACAATACATAAATACTTCATAGTGCTGTTTCCATTTAAAACACACAACCTTACAGTTGAAGTAGTTATGTTTAAAAAGATAGTGCTAAAGTGCCTTCAGATAACCTAACGATGCAACTAATGATTATTTTGCAAATTGATTAATCTGTTGATTATTTTTTGAATTAATCGATTAATAATCGGATAGCCAAAGGCACGATGGAGTATTAGGGCCACACATGAAGAGAAAAAATATTTTTGCCATGACGAGATTAAACTCGACATGTCGACTTTAAAGTCGACATGTCGACATTAAACTCAACATTTCGAGAATAAAGTTGAAATGTCATGTTGAGTTTAATCTCGACGTGTCGACTTTAAACTCGCCATTCCGAGAATAAAGTTGAAATGACTGACATGTTCTCAAATTCAGAACTGCGAGCCTAAGTAAGCATAGGGAAAGACGTTACCGGTACGTTATTATTGGTAGGCCACCGCTTCCTGTGATGATTATACAGTTGCAGCACGTCAAAGACTACCTTCACTCTTAAAACGCAGACTGCAGCTGTGGAGCGTGGTTGCTCTTTTCTCCAAACTTTGCAATGTTGAGATTAAAGTCGCCACGATATATCAACTTTATTCTCGAAATGGCGAGTTTAAAGTTGACAGTTTAATCTCGTCATGGCAAAAATATTTTTTCTCTTCATGTGTGGCCCTAATACTCCGTCGCACAAAGGTTCCTTAAAGATTTTTTACAAAATTAAACCAAGAGAACCTAAAACTTTTCCACTTGAAGAGTTCTGGATATAGCATTTCGACAGCCGAAAACATTTTTTTACTTAAATGCAAATTTTCTATATATTATTTTACAATTTTTAGATAATTATTGCTCCAAGTGGTTGCTCTGGCAGCTAAAGGCATGTTTAAGAGTCTCTATGCTCCAGTAACGAAAAATCTATTACTAAATCAGTTGATTATTTCAATAACCGATTAATTATGATTAATCTGATTAATTGTTCAGCCCTAGTAAGGATCAACAACGAAGGTGGATGAAGCATGCAAAATAGCTTTATTATTTATAAACAAAAATGCATGAATATCCACATAAATCATTTTGATATATTTTTTTCTTATCTACTTTTACATTTTTTTTTATTATTGAATAAAGCGCTGCTATTGAGATTTATTTGCCTACTTTATATGGCAAATAATTTTCTTCAAATAAAGATTCTTCAAATCTGGCAGTAACCAGGCATCTTGCAAGAAAAAAAAAGTACTTTTTCCCAACTGTAAATAAGATGGTATAACAAGAGGGCAATGCTTTTTTCCAAACAAACCAGGTTGGTTTGGATTTTTTTTTTTCCCCTCAACAAAATTGTAGCTTGAATCTTCTACCTTGTAGCTTGTAAATATCCATCTTCTTGACAAAGACTTCCTTATAAAAATATAGGGGCTTTCTAGGTAACTAAAGGTTTACTAAAATAAAACATTTGTCACATGAGTGATACAGAAAAGCAAGAACATAAAAACTCTGCAAGGGGGCAGATACTTTTTCATAGCATTGCAATAATAGCCAACATATGCCCACATAAATTTAAAGCAAGTTAATCATGTTTGACAGCCTCTGTACGTCTTTTATTTTAAAAAGTCCTATACCTGCTGATCTTTATCTACGCTTGTAAAAAAGATGGGAGTATTTCCCTAACATCCTTGAATGAGGATCATAAAGGTTAGGGTCAATAAGGAGAGTGGCCTTGTCAGAGAAAACTGATGGCTTAGATATCAAACAGAGAGCCCAGTTTGGGCTTCACCATTGACCACAAACTTTTGTAGTAACATTTGTAACAGACATTTTCATATTGCAATACTGCAGTTTCATGACATCTGTGCTTTATTCCTGTTTTAAATGATTTGGGGCATTCTATGCACTGATTTTTTGTTACGACAGAAGTTCTTCCAAAATTATGACTGCTTTCAAAGTTGCTTTTAATGACCTTTGTAATATAATGTCACCTTGGTAAAAAAAACAAACCCAACTTCCTCTTTAAGTTGGACTGAGGCTAGACCTACAAAAATTCTCTGATCCCGGTTCTTTGTGTTTTGTTAATCCTTAATAGCACACTACTGGTCAAAAGCTACCAATTTACATAAGTTATATATAATGAAACCCTGATTATCCTACAAACAAAGCTGTTAATCTTACACAGCATGATTTTGACAAATAGCCTAAACTGAGTTAAAAAAAAATCTTAAAATGTGCCAATATTCAGCCAAATACCACTAAAACGCATATGTAAACAGCATCAACTACACTGTGCCAATCTGAAACACTAAACCAGAGCAAAGAAATTTACACCTCAGTAACAAAGTGTTAATTTTTGAGCAACTGCATGCAAGCTTCCCCTTCACTAAACCTGTGAAGCCACATACCACAAAAAACAAAGGCATTCTCACTCTTGGTGTTTAACGACAGAATGCCAGGGAAGAAGAAAAAAAACAGTTTGCCACCTGAGAAAGTCTCACACACGAAACCTGGGATTATTTTTTTTTCCATTTGGTTTGCAAACATCCAGAGACACTAGATAAGATATTTACATACCAGTCAGTCAGCTTTTTTTGTAAGAGCTCAAGTTGCGTAAACTACTTTGTGTGCCTGCAAGACCAACAGTACTCTTTGATTTTGCCACCTTAATACAGCAACAGTTATAATCTACAAGGCATTCAGCATGCATTTAGGAAGCTGGAGCATTTTCTTTCAAATCAAAACCTTCACACACTAAGCCTGATCAGACTGCAATCATTAATTTTCAGCTTTTATAGTCAGAGTGCAACAGATGTGATTAAAAAGAAGGAGCTGTTCTCACTCTAACCGTCTGCTCAGCAAGAATAACAAAGACCAAAACCAAACCTGTGCAAACAAGTAGTGCAAAATCCTTGAGGAGAAGTTAAAGCCATGTTGCAGCACCCAAATTAATGCCAAGTTATCACACAGTTCATAATTAACGGTTAACAGAGAAGTTTCTGTCATTCATATAAAGTTCCTATGTCTTAACTCAGGCATGCAAATTTCATAAAGATAAAAGACAAACCTAGGATATAATTTCTGATTTTCACAATCTGAACTTAATATCTGAACTTAATATCATAGGGAAGCAGCTGTTCCAAACGTTGCAGTTCCGAATTCTCCCAAGTGGTGCCCGACTTTACACGAGTGAATAAAGTAAATGTGATTGGTTGATTATCAAGGGGGCGGGATTGTTCTGATGGAAGGTTCGCAAGCAAGTTTGGTAGTGGCTGGTGTCTCGGAAGCATCTTGCTAACCAGTTAGCAACTTCGTGCTAGTAGGTTGCCAATGGGAAATTGCATTGGGACCAAGTAGCATATAGCAACGATGTTGTCAGCGAAAACATGCAAGAGGAGCAGAGTTTTTTGTCGGAGGTTGTTGATGAGTCTCCTCCGTCATACATTTTTTATTTAGAGGAGGAAAGCGGGGACAAAGTTGTTGTGGAAGAGGATGATAGGGAGCCAGAAGGTTGCTTTGGTGTAGAAGGCTTACAGCCCTACATGTTTGAGCCCTTGCCTCACAATTCTGCCAGCTCTGTTAACTCTACGCCTGCCAAAGACACAGACATCCATCCCTGTGAACACTGGGACGTATAGTAAATTTAATGATTCTTATTTCAACCGTTGCATATACTAACTGCGACATATGAATCAAGCTATGACCGAATTTTTTTTTATATATGATATATAATTTGACCGTTGATATATATGATTGGCTGAATTTAGGAGTACAAGCTGACGTATAACTAACTGGCCTGCATAAAATAGCGAGAAAAACCCCCACATAGATTTTAAGACAGATCTTTTTTTATAGAAATTTTCTAACTTGTAGGAGAATATGGTCTGATAAAGAGTACAGAATTGTTTGACATTTAAATATGAATTCCCTACGACTTTATCGGTCACTTTTAATTTCATCTCGTAAGCATTAGCATTATTATGTTCAGTCTGACTTGGTGGCTCGTTCTAAGTTGGAGGTCAGGGCTTAATAGCAAATGCCAGCTGTACTATTCTCAGCATAGCTACATTTAGTGCCTGCTAGATCACAAAGGTGTAGCACAAACTGTAACACACTGTCACTCTATACTGTGCATGTGTCAACCTGGTATATTATTTACGACCTTACAAAATATTAATGCAATGAATAACTACTCACCGGACACTCCGCTTTCACCATTTTGACCATCCACTGTTGGAGAACTTTGCTTTTCAGATGCACACTCTCCAAATAGGCACAGACAAAATATCCACAAGGTCACAGATTTAAGAAGCTCCATGTCTTTTGGATGCTGTAAAAAGAAAAAGAACGATTCTCAAATTGTGACATTCTCAAAATGTATAACACTTTTAAGCAACTCAAGTGTTTAAGATGTCATTTTTGTATTTTAAGCAGTATTATGGAGGTCTTTTTTCAACTTTAACCTTTTACCATTTCACACCTTAGCAGTTATGGTCTTGTTACACCTTTTGTATATTTAGTTCCATTTACCAAAAGAGGATTTGAGCAGACATTTTGACAAATCATACCTAAGCAGGATGGCATTTTACCCCTGCTTTGATAACCGAAGACTCGAGGCATGTTTGTCAACTCATGGTCTACTGTACGGAAATCAGTTATACGACTAACACACGTATACAGCTGAAGGTTGTTTTGATCAGAGGTCCTAATCTGTTCAATGGGGTCAAACTTCAAACTTGGGATTATAGTCAATATACAGGATAAAACAGAGAGCAATACAAATTCTCTATATAATAGTATAAAACTGATTTCAATAACCAACATGTCAGCATTTACCTTCATAAATTGTGAACACACAAAGTCCATAGTCACTTCAAAACTTGATAAAGATGATCCTTATTTAAATAAGATGCAAATATAGTTACTATATAACAAATATGTCAAAAACAGAACCCTTGTTATTACTTAAGTTTCATTCAAAATAGATCCAGATGTATTTTAGATTCTTAAAACTGACAGCTTAAAATTACATTTTGAAATAAGCTACTAAAATGAAATAAAAACGGGAATATTTTTATCGATACTTTTAAAATAAAGAATTCATAATCTAAAAACAGGAAAATTACCTCAAGATTAGAAGATTACTACCCCATTTTCCAACAGCAACAACCAAACACAAAATTGGTGTGATCGAAGATATTACTCATACGTAATTCATACCGGTTTACCTAAAATCAGAGCTAATAATTAGAGTATTTTTAAGGTAAATTGTGAGAGTTTTGTGGGGTTGCCTCACATTTCATTAGTATTGCCGCTAGTTTGGTTTTCATTCAGGAAGTGCCTTGTAACTGCCGTGAACCACGGTCTATTAAGCATGCTAATTCAAAAGGGAAATAAGCCTAGAAAGTGTCAGCAGGCTGCACCTTCTGCTTCTTCTGGCTGGATGTCTGTTAAGCCAACGGCAGGCTAGCTAGCTAACAACTCGGATAACGAGCAAAGAGTACAAAGTAATTTCGAGTAAAAATCAACCATATATAATTCTCACAGCTTAACAACGACAAGCTGTGTATTTTTTTAATGTCTACAATGTTGTCGCCAAACGGAATTATTTTCAGCTGCACATTGACCACCGGTGACGTGTAGCTAACCACGAACACTAAACAATAAGCAGCAATTGTAGTTTCAGCTAGGCTAACAACTGTATCATATCCGTGAAGATAATATAAATAAAAGTTACCTGTCATCTATTACAGTCAGCAAATGTGTGATTTCAGCTCAATAACCACATAGCTGCAAATGTCTGGTCCCGCGGAGTTGAAGAGCTACGGTACTCCACCTCCTGGTAGAGCTGTCGGTCTTCAGGCAGCCTACAGACTACTGAACCAAAAAAGCCGCAGCAAGCTCTTCTTGCTCGGAGGAAGGAGCACCGGTCAAGGACGACCTATGTTGCCATCTAGCGGCTTGAGTGTATAATTGACATCACGAACACCATCCATGATATCCATGCATGTACTATAAAATTGCGCCATCTAATGGACGTGATAAAACATTGCAGTAATTTAACCAAATAATTTTACAGTTCAGCTCAACTAAATATGATTATTTAGATCCTTGTATTATATTATTTATTTAACAAAAAACACTGTCAGCAATAAAAGGGCATTTATCATTAGGTTAAATGAGCGTTAGCAGTGCATATTAAGTCAATTAGACAATTTGAATTGAAGGGAAATTCAGGGCTAATTTTCTACTTTTTGGATTGTAATATATATATATATATATATATATATATATATATATATATATATATATATATATATATATATATATATATATATATATATATATATAAAATGAGAAACCAACTGATGACAAAAATACTACTACTAGAATTGAAAACTACGTGGCGGTGTGTTTAACCCTGAGACAATACCAATTATCAGCAATATCCTGGTTGGTTGTTGAGAACACTCATTAAGAATGTGTGAGGCAATGAGTGCCGTAATTTGAGTCCAAAAAACTATTAAAGTCAGGGAGAAAGCTGTTGTGGAACGTTGCCGTTTTGCTCCACAGACTGTGTTGTTTCATTTCAGATCTCAGGGGCAGAGCAGTCAATGATTCTGGTTGGAGATGCTGTTTATACTATTGTGGGCTGTGGTCAGACAGCATCTTTTTGTGGCATTTTGATTCAGAAAAAGTTGTGTCACGATAGCAAAAAAACCCAAAAACTTATGATTCATGGTTAAGATTCAAATATTCATATTAAAGATACAAATCTTGTTTGAAATCCCATTAATTCTTACTCATTCTCATCATCAGGTGCTTTATTCAGGGTTGCAAGGCCTTCCAGAAATAGCAGAGAGAACCTCCAGTGTGTCCTGGGAACTGCTCTGAGCTTCTTTCTGCTGGGACGCTCATGAGAAACAGACGTCTGAGCCCATCCTACTTGGAGAGGTGGCTCTACTCCAAGCTTCTCCCATTACTCAATACTAGCAATACAAACCAGACTCAGCTTGTGCATATTGGATGGCTGCCTACACAGTAAATTCTACTGTATTAAATAGGCAGTGTCAAAGTACATTCCTTTAGAGTTATTACAAAAACAACTGGAGTAAAATATACACTACATAGAGTTCTAATTTAACGCTAATTCCGAGTGGGACCACATGCACTCTTTTAGTGTTTTACACTGCAAAAAGGCCCAGACTCTATTCTCCTGCAGCACCTCATAAAGAGTACGATGGGGAACATGGTTGAATGCATTTTACAGGTCCACAAAGTACATTTGCACCAGTTGGGCAAACTCTGGGCAAGCTGGTTCAAAGTTAAACTCCTGGGACGAAAGCTGCACTTCTCTTGAAGCCAGGTTCAACAATAAGCTGGACTCACGTCGCCGGAACTCAGATATAAACTCTGTCTTAATAAGGCTTAGAAATTCTGAAACTAAATTTAGTCTTATGAGAAATAATATCTGTTTTACAGCACAGATAGAATTTAACAGCTTTTTAATCCCCCTCAGCCTCAAATAATCAATGACGCACAGAAATCAGTTTACGTTTTACCAATTTGGCAGTCTATATATATATATATATATATATATATATATATATATATATATGCCTTTTAATTAATGATTATTTAAAGTCATTATGATTCTAGTATTTAAGAAACAGGAAACAGTTATTTAGTTCTTGAAGAGAGACACATTATTGTGTTGGCCCTAAAAAAGCGACTGAAATACAATAAAACAGAGATGAACATTGTTCTTTAGATCTCAACCTGAATACTATATTTGGTGATATCAAATACCATGTTGACAGCAACGGATTCTGACAGTCTTGAGCTTACAAGAAGACATCTACTGCAATTTAGCAGACATACAGTATCATCACTTAGTTGCTGTGCTTGAAAAGAAAACAAACATTTCACATCACTGAATATTATGAGTGAAATTAAAGCAATCCATAGGAATAACATTAGAACAAGACTTGTTCATTAATCCCTCAAGTGTATATGTGTGCATAATCGTTTTGCACCTGACTCACATTGACACACTTTAATCATTTAAGAATTGTCCTCATGAAAATATGTGAAAAAGCCCATCCCAGTCCTCTTCAACTGGATCACTGCTCTCGTCATCCGCTGCTTTAATGCCTGCAGATGTATCACGTCTTTCTTTAGTTTCTAGTCAGAAGTCTTTATCTTCAAAGTTGGAAATGACCACAACCTCCCGACTCTTGAAATCCCACACTGCTGTCAGATGGAAGGCCATGTTGGAGAAGACCACAAGGTACTCAAACAGGGCAAAAAACGTGTAACCTGTCAACAATTCAGAATCATAGACATGAGTTGGTCACTATTTTATACTGTTTAAAAGGCAAATACATTTTTTGGTAAAAACATATATATATTCATGAATAATTTGTTCATTTACAACCATGAATTGCATTTGTAAGATTGGGACTTTTGTGAGACATGAGCAAAAATTTGTCTAAATATGAAGCGTATGGAAACTGATAAATTGATGTCAACAAAAAAAAAATAAATCAAGGGTACAAAGAATTCATTTAGTTCTCAGAGTGTAAAAAAAAAAGTCAGATCTGATGTTATTCAGTTTTTTTCAGAAACATTGCAGCTGTTACAATTGATTGAGACATGCCATAAAATTTTAAAGCTGCACCTAAAGCTTTAGGATATATTGGCAAATCGAGGCTGAATGCAAATCCACGCCGTACTTTTTCTTTTTACAAAACAATGAATAATGTTCCTTTCAAATAACAATTGTGGACTATTTTGTGTTTAATACAGTACAAATACTTAAAGGTATAGTGGAGGATGTTCTTTTTCCAGATGGATCATCTAAATAAGTGGTCCTCCTAATTGCCAATCATTCTGGTGATATGTTTACGTAAGGCCGTCCTACGTGCTCGTCCCCATTTTCACTTCTGACACCGTGGAAAAATTGCAAATCTTCTTTTGGAAAGTAAGCTTGTATGAGCGATGCAAACAGCAACTTTTAAACAGAGTGTACAGAGGAAAAATGGGCTCATGCATGCTCTTGCACACGTTTAAAAGCCGTTCCCTCTCGGGAGAAGGTACAGGGTTATGCATGGGCATTTTTCTATTAAAGTGGAGAGGGCGGGTCTTTTACAAAATTCACAAAAATCCTCCAATATACCTTTAGGCATGCTAAATATTCCATGTCAGTTGTATTGTTATTACATAATAAATGTAAGGTAGTGTAAGACTTACTTCCTGATTCACAGTAGATGTTGTGTTTCCAGTAGAAGAATCCAGCAAAAGCACAGAAGCAAACATTGAGGAGCAAGAAGCGAACTTTCCAATAATGAGACTTGGCGTCCTTTAAGAAAAAACACCACAATCCGACTCAAAACTGCAACTAAAATAGGAGGATTTAGTGTTAAGATTTTCAATATTTATTATTCATTACCTCAGGGCTCAAAGAGTACTTCTTAATAGTTCTCCACAAACGGCAGGTTATCAGCATGTAGATAAGAGAACTCACAATGAAGAGGACAAAACCCTCCTTATGCACAACTGCACAGGAGGTAAGAAGATAGCATGGTCAGATAAAAGCTCCTTGATGATTTAGAACACTATTTGTTCTAAAATAGTAATAAAAGTATAGAAGTATGTTGTATATGGATTACTTACAGTATGTTTCAGTAGACGACACATATGTGAGAAGCAGAAGGCCCAGGTTCTCAGAAATGGAAAAGGCCAAGTTAAAGCAGCTGAGGGTGCTCTCTAAGGACCTGGCAGCAAAGCGGCTCTTATAAAACCTGAAGTAGGTAAAGGCAACCAGGAGCCTTGGAGCAGAGTGAAGTCCAATGCAGAACCGCCATATGTGGCACTCAGGACTGAGACTGATTGAGGCACTGATTGATGGTAGGTAGTTGGAAACCTGAAGACAGAGACATAGTTAGGTAGATTTCTGCTTTTACACTGTTGTAGAAGTCTACATGTAACACGTATAATAATAAGAAACAGGATTTTTAAAGGCCAACTGCAGTTGGATAATGTTACAGGGAAATATATTGGGGGGGGGGGGGGGGGGGGGGGGGGGGCGTCCTCCTTGTTTGTGACTAGATTATTGTAATATGGGGGAAACAATGTTCTCTAAATAAGATTTTTATGGAATATAAGCAATATCTCATCAAAGAAAATTAATTCCTCACATTTAAAAAAAATATTTAATACTTTATTTTCACTGGAAAACACCTGGAGATATATATGATGTTTCTATCTATCTGTTAAAATGGAAATTACCTGGCAGTGTGTACCAGTAGCATCTTCAAAGTGAAAAAGAGAGGATATAGAGATGCAGGTGATGAGTCCTAACAGTGGTAGGCACACAGTAACCGCAATACAAGTAGCAAATGATATCCTGATGACCAGGGGCCTCTCATAACCCAAAATATTTGAGCCTTGGATCATCTTACCCTGCAAAAGGGCAAGGATAAAAAAAAAAAGTGATTTTATATTATAAACATGGGAGATATATTTGAGTTACTACATCAGGATATTTGTGTGCATGCAATTTCAAGACCTTTGTATTACAATATCTGTGTTTATTCAAAAACAAATGAATCTATGATTTCTTTTTTTTTTTTTTTTATGCATCCAGGAATACCCTACCTCCACCCAGTTCACTATTTCCCAGCAGTCGCTTCAGTTGGCTTAACAATAACGATGATGCGCGATGCAGCTGGAAATCTCTGTTCCCTTCCAGCTAGGAATAGGAGACTGGGATGTTACCCAGCCTGCTTACATTTTGAAAGGTTATTCTTCAAATATTCAGTTATGACAGCCGGCAGATATGAAATAGGCCTTAGGATGCTGCAGTCATCCAGTGGAAGATAGGAGGAGGAGAAAACCATGAGGGGGAGGAGAGGAGCAGCTTCCGGAAGAGAAGACGGGGGGCAGGGATAAGATGTGTCAAAATAATACACAGGTTTCAAAATATGCGGATTTTTTTTAAGTAACTGATCAAAGGAGAGAAGGAAAACACGAATGCAGGCACTCAAAAAAATAAAATAAAAATAAATGAATAAAAACAGACCGGGTTTGTTTCTTGCGCTGAATTACTGAAAACAAATTGAGCAATAAAATCCAAACGATCACTTTATCATATCATTTGTCTTTATTTATGTGCGACTGTGTTTCGGATCATGCACATCCCATGCATGTGTGAGATTGCGCACGCCTATGGAATTGATTGCGTCATGGGATTAATAATCCGACAATCCGCTCTGAGCATCAGAGCAAATATTCCCTTTAAAGGTCACTGTTTACTGCTGGAATAAGCTACATTATTATAAATAATAAATATTATTATGATTATTATTATTTAGTACAGTGGTATTAAAAAGGGTTATTGGATGCAGATCATATGCGTAAAAAATGGTAGACTGGAGACTTTCGACTTTACTTCAATCGTTTCTGTTCTTCAGTGTCATTACAGGTAAGTTTCTCTATGATTTATGTTTTCTGTACAGGCCAGGGCGTAGGTTTGATCCCAACTTTGGTAGGGATACTATTGGCCTTAAATTGAATTGGTCTGATGCCATTGGTCCTACTCATTATGCATGCTCCTATTTATTAAAGAGAAAACAGCATTTTTTTTTTTTGCTACATTTATACACATTTTATAACCACTAAACACAATATGCTGTTTATCAATGTTTGAAGCATCAGTGGCTCAGAATAATGTAAAATTTGGACAACTTAAAACTTTGAAAATGTTACATTTGAACTTACCAGTGACTAAGACGGAAGGTAGATATGTGCCTTTTTAACCAAATATAGTCTAAATATGTCTGTTGTATGTGTATTTATCATGTGTTTTCTTTTGAAGAAATAGTATTGTGCAAAGGCAAACAGAGGTAAAACCCACTCTTATTATTTTTTTTATCTGATATGCTGATATTCTCTGTATTGTAAAACAAAGCAAAAAAACACATTCAAGGGACTGCAAACAGATTTATTGTATTTACATGGGCGCGGGAACTATAAGAGGAACTGACAGTGAGCATTTAAAATATTGATTTCAATAAACAAGTTGTGATAAAACACTGCTGCAACAACACTGTGTTGTAAATTATAAACATGTTATTCACTACCAAAATTTTGGTAGGGACATGTCGCTATAGTCCCTATTCAAACCTACGCCCATGAGTACAGGTGCATTCAAATCAAGGATGGCCTAAGGGGTGGGGCTGATGGACCTACAGTTACTCAACATAAACACTTTCAATAGGGGGTTTGTATTTTCCAAAATTGAGCTCAAACATATATTTATTGAATGCTTTCCTATTGTTGAGAACACAAAAGAACAAAATACACTGATATTTATAATTAGGGGTAGTTAGACATTAATGTTTATATATATATATATATATATAAAAGGATAAATATCAGTCGATTCCGATGCCAACAGCGATATATCATGCCTCCCTAGTATGCACACAATTTCAGTTTCATTCATCCATCCAGAAAAACGGGATGTTTTCCCTTTCAGCTACATCAGTGATTATCCTCCATCAAAAGCAGCAAAATCTAATTTATAAAATAGTCCACACCAGTCCTTCAGAAAGTTACGCCTGTGATTCAAATAATCTAGAATAGGCCTATTTTTTTTTCTATCAGTGTTGATCATGTTGCAGATTCATTACACAGAAGGATATATTTCTTTCTGTTAATATTAACTCTGATTTAAAACCCCCAAATCAGTTTCTCTTTACTTTTTCCCAGATTAATAAAGATGCCGCCTAACTCTATTGACACCACTAACTTTGGGAGTGTTGTTGTTGCCAAGTCCTCCTGGAAAACCAACACTTTTTTTCTCAAAATTAAGAAGATTTCAAGATAAATCTGAGGAAAAATAAATATTTTGATTAAAAGAATTTTCTTCTTGTATCTCTATCTACAAGGCTCTAGCTTTGTCCAAGTTTTGTGCACTCCTCATTTATTAAGCTGTGAAATGCTTGAGGTTTTACCAGTATCGCAAGACATTCACAATCCATGACACCTTTAGCTCCATGATTAATGGAACAGATTAGTTACTGTTTTGGTTGTTTGAGTGCTCTATCGTTTTTGCTAAAGATGTCCTCTTTTGCATCCAGTGAAATTGATTCTAGACGTATATTTCCAAAGGACTTCATTTCAGAAGCCCTGTTTATGTTTTTCTAAGAGAGCAAAGATTTTTAATTCCTTTAAAACTTAACTTTTAAGGTCTGTATCTAAATTGTATCACAAAAAATGCAGGAACCTACTGCAGGTGCTTTAATGACATTTTAAGAAGCATCTTGCATTCAGCTTTCAGTATGATATTGTCGGATTGCCTAATAATGCAACCGCTTTTGGCATATACTTAATCATATTTAGTTACATAATTGTTTTTTATCCTAACCTGCTAACATTAAAAAATCTGCTTATGATTAATATGATTAAGTAAATGCCAAAAACAGTTACATTATTTTTTTGCAGCGTGGCAGTTGTTTTGAATGTCCTCACCTAGTCAAGTGACTTTGAATTATTGTGTACCTGATAATATGTATTTTTAATCTCATTACTAATATATAAGAGGAATTCCTATAATGAAAAACATATTGCATCAATCATATCAATAGCCAACAAATGTGTGGAATTGTTGTCTCTTGATATTTGTTTTACTTTTAGCCGGATACACTTATTCTCATGTGTCCTCTTCTTTTATACTCTAGCCATTTCCAGAGTCTTCAAACTAGTGACTGGTTGATAAGAGATTGTGGTAAAATAATCCCACAGACATTTCTGTCCAGCTCAGGGGCTTTATTTAAACCATGATATAGGGTTGACATCGACATCTGGTCAGTGCAAATCCATTTCTGCAGCCAGAGCAGTAACTTTTCATGCATTTTTACATGCGTTGCTACATGATGTCCTAATACATTCATTTTGAATTTACAAAAAGCTTCTGATACATCAACAAAATTTCTAAATTGCTTCCGACGTTTACAGAAAGGCAGCTTAATCCAGTATTCACTCTTCCCCTTTTTCCCCCCATCTGTCAGGCTATCACATTTTCTGCCTCCTGTCTCTCCCTTCTCTCCTACTCTATCAACATGTCATTGCTCTAAAAATGTGAAAAACAGGGACTTAATCTGACTGTTTGAAAATTCTTGCCATTTAGGTTTTAAGATCAATTGAAATCAACAAAATATTTATTGCAAGGACTTTTGCATGTCTGCTTCTTTTCTCTCTTTCCAAGCATGTGAGGGTGCATACGCCAAATATGCCCAGAAGCTCCTGACGGATTTAATGACCAACTACACCAGTGCGCTGAGGCCTGTGGAGGACACAAACACAATCCTAAATGTGACTCTACAGGTTACACTCTCACAAATTATTGACATGGTAAAATACTGCAGCACAAACATTACATTTTCTGTGATGCATTTTAACCGTTCATTTCTCAGGTTGGAAGGAAAACAAATCAGAAAAAACTCAAGAGCAAAAAGAGACAAATGGGAGCAATATCTGTAGGCTAATCTCAGGAGCGACTGGCCTACCGACATGACTCCAAGAACTTATATATGTTTGTATCTAATGTTTTGGATTTACAATGATATAATCTGCTTTAGCAAGTAAGACAACATTGTAAAAATGTGATTAAAGACATAAAGATAAAAGTATTTGTATTTTAAAATAGATTAAATTAAGAGTGTCCTGTTCAAAGTCTGAAATTAAATGTGACTGAGGCACTGTGACATACCCTTAAACAAGCAGTTGATTCAAATGTGACTTGATTAGAACAAATAGAGTGGGGCAAAACATTACAAACAGTGATGAAATAAAATAAATCAATGCATACTTTAAAGTGGTGCTAAAGGCCAAGTGCTGCATTTCTGTTTTTTCTCAGTTGGATGTAAAAAATTGTTAATGTATATAGAAACTCATTTATTTGACAGCAGTGACTGGACTGATCGATACACCAAATGAGAAAGTCTACAGCTAGTAGAAAAAGCAGCATTAGTCTTTTAGTTGCGTTAATGTTCCACAACAAATAATGACTGATCAAATAAATTATGAAAAAGAATCACATTATGCCTGTTCAAATTGAATGCAATTGTCTGGCTTCAGCTGTGTTATTATATATATATTTTATATATTTTCAGTGTATTTTGACTTTACTTTACATATTTTGCAGTACTATGTTTATGTCTTGTGCCATTATTCCTCCCTTCATACCCCTTCTAATGTTTTTACAGGATGAGCGAAATCAAATTTTGACAGCATATCTATGGATAAGGCAAGTGTGGTTTGATGCACACCTCAAATGGAATAAAGATGAGTACGATGGACTCGATACCATCCGTATACCTGGTAGTTATGTATGGAGACCTGATATAGTCCTATATAACAGGTAAGTCGGACTGTTGTTGAGTTGATCATTTGGTTTCTGTCCTATGAAACACGTATTGATCATTTAAAAAAGGCACAAGCTGATCATTGTGTGAAATTCTTATTTAGGAATGTTCAGGCCTCAATGTGGTTGTGCTACACCAACTAGCAAGAATTAAACATCAGTATTTTCAGACTTACTGTGCTAGCCACATTCAATAGTAAAGATGTAAATTACATCTTTAAAATCATATTCAATCTCTCTAATACTGAATGTCAGGCAAAAATAAAAATCTAGCCTTAATTTTTATGCATTTTTTTTTTTCACCTTCAAAATGATGGTCCAGATTTGCAAACTAGGCTAGTATTCCTTTCAATATTCTTGGCTCTATTTCATTACTCTGGGCAACAAGCATTTGACAACAGGACCGCTCTTAATCTTTTAAATAACACATACTGTATGACTGGAGTTAAAATAGAGATCTCTGGCTTTTTCTCTGCACAATTTTTCTCGATCCTCCAGTCCTTTGACCATTTTCCTGCACTTTTTTCACAAATCATCTCATAGTTTGGTGTTTCTCTTTCCAGTTTACTGATGTAGAAAATTTTATATTGTCTTCGGTCAGTCATCTTTGTGTTGATATGGACACATATTTTAGATTTATCGTTGAAAAACTTAGTGATAATGGCATTTTTTGCTAAGTTCCCTGTTAGGAGATACCAAGGCCCTGGTCTACTAAGATCTGTAATAAGAAGTGCTAAATTGCTCGTGCAAACCAAAATTGCTGATGCAATTGTGATCATTGTAGGGTGATCTAGTAAGACTGGCTACGCAATTACCAAAAATGAGAACTTTGCATGTGCTATTAGGAGAGTTTGAGAAAGCAGAGGTGATTTATTATACTGTCCAATGGTAGCCAGAGCTTGCAACAACACTGCACACAGTCAGCATATATTTGACTGCTATGTGAAGGAGATACAGACAGAAGGAGAAAGGGGGAAAATTTCTATTTGTGTGAAATTGGACATCCTACCTATAGGCTGACATTGAAACACAGTGAAGTATTTTTTGGCCTCTTGTTCTTGTAATTACACCTAAGGCAAAAACAAAACTATGATTTTATAATTAGGTTTTCTAGAAAGTAAGGAATCTAAAAATTAGATTAATAAAATAAAAAAATAAAAACTCTGTGGGTTTTATTATAAACAGATTTAATAGGAGAACAATAGTAGCAATTCAGGTTTAGACATAAGTTTTACACTTACTAATGTACTTATTGAAAACAGTGGGACTATTCACTTTTTTTAATGACAGATTTATGACAGATTATGCTATGAAGTTATGTTTTCACAACAGCTATCAATAAAATTTGATAAAAACATGAAGTTAGAGATGATTTGTTAGTGATTCTGAAAGTAAATTAGGTATTCGTTCTATCAAAAATGTATTTAATTATAACAAATTATTTAAGAAAAATCAACCACATGTGTAACAATGATGAAAACAATAACTGAGAGAATGTAAAGACATTAAGTTCCACTCTCAAAAATGACAAACTTGACTTTTTTCCAGTTGGTGTACTTTTGCTTTTGGGTTCTGTTCAAAATGTTCATCTTTCTGGAAGTAATGCAAACAATATTGCAATAGTTTGCTTGTTGAAAGAGGTTAACTTGTGTTTTCCAGTGCAGACAACCACTTTACCGGCCCAATGGATACCAATGTGGTGATCCGGCATGACGGCCAAATGATGTGGGATTCTCCTGCTATCACAAAGAGTTCATGCAAAGTGGACGTGTCCTTTTTTCCTTTTGATGGCCAACAGTGCAGGTTTACCTATGGCTCTTGGACCTACAACGGAAACCAGCTCGACATCCTGAACGCCATGGAGAACGCCGACCTAGCTGACCTGGTGGAAAACGTAGAGTGGGAAGTGCTTGGGATGCCAGCAAAGAGGAATATTGTTCTGTATGGATGCTGTGCAGACCCATACCCAGATGTGACTTACACGCTGATGCTCCAGAGAAGAGCGTCCTTTTATGTTTTCAACCTCCTCATACCATGTGTAATGATCTCTTTTCTGGCCCCACTGGGTTTCTACTTGCCCGCTGATTCTGGGGAAAAGGTTTCTTTAGGTGTTACTGTGATGCTAGCCCTCACTGTCTTTCAGCTGTTGGTTGCCGAAATTATGCCACCTTCTGAGAATGTGCCTCTCATTGGTGAGGATGATGACGAAGGCTCAAAATCTACTTTGCAGACACATGTAAATATTGATCTCTTTTTTTTATCCCTGCAGGAAAATATTACATTGCAACGATGACAATGATTACAGCCTCCACTGCTCTGACCATCTTCATCATGAACATTCACCACTGTGGTCCAGATGCCAAACCTGTTCCAAAGTGGGCCAAAAAAGTCATTCTGCAGTATATGGCAAGAATGTGCTTTGTTTATGAAGTTGGGGAGAACTGTATGTCAGCAGAGACGGAGAAACATGATCCTCCTTTTGGAGGGAACACCAACTGCACCATGAATGGGCAGGTAGGACTAGGAAGAGAGGACTGCATCATTAACAGTGGTCAAGAGACAGTCAGATCTGTCATCACAGAAGAGAAAGAAGAAAATGATCAAATCCTAAGTCCATTGGGCTCAGTGGGGAAGAACCCTACAAACCAGTACAGCACTTGGAAGAAGGATATTTTACTGGACTATGGGGAACCAGGGGGTCCAAGGAGGTGCAGAAAAGGAGGGGTGAGCGGTGGAGAGAGAAAAGGTCAAGAGATTTCCTGCAACACCCATGCCAACGATGAATTGCTGCTGCATAACATTGAGTACATTGCCAGCTGTTACAGGGATCAGAGGGCCATGCAGAGACGGACTGGGGAATGGAAGAAAGTAGCCAAAGTTTTAGATCGCTTCTTCATGTGGATGTTTTTCATAATGGTGTTTTTCATGAGCCTGCTTATCATGGGCAAAGCTATCTAGTCAGCACTACTTTTATGTGGTTGTTAAAACTATTAAGTCAAACTGGTCAAATTAGACGTTAAATAGTGGTTTGTAACTTACTCTTTCTCTGACCCAAAAAAAGGCAACTTTTCTTGTAAAATAAAATAAAAAAATAAAAAATGTATATTTTATACCTTTGGTTAGTTTTCCTTTGCTCCTCAAAGAATACAATGCCAAGATCTCTATGAATGCGAAATTTTTCAAAAAATATTTTTCTAAAGTGACATATCTCATAAATAAAAAGATAATCTCATATAAGTCGCAAAATCATATTTAGGATTGGCCTAATGTAGATTCACGCATCTTTCTATGATCAGCTTCCATAACCCTAATCATGAAAAGTCTTCGTACTGCATGATTCTGTCACTGCAGTTCTTGCTGTTTTTTTGTTTTTGTTTATTTTGACTGAAATTGCTTATACATCTGGTACTTTACAGCATTAGTGAATCCTGAGTAATTTGTAGCTTTAGATTTTAGTTAGGGCTATGAGAGTAAATGGAGCTAAATGATATTTAATGCAACACATAATAGAAATGTGAAAATATTTGGGAAACAAGCTTTGTTAGCTGCCTGTCAATGGTGCCCCCACCTCATACCAAAGGACACACAAGTTCTTCCACAACTCTTTCCAGATAGATAATTAGAAACTCCTAAGTTTGAGTGTGTAAACAAAAGGATGTCTGTACCTTCCCTCATGCAGTACAGACAATTGTCCAGCCCCCAACTGTAGTGAAAAAGAATGTACTAGCAATTGAAAAGATTGATAGCTGGAGTATATTAATTAAAGTCATGAAATAAAGTAATTTTTATGTAATTCTTCTTTGAGTAAGAAGGATAAAAAAAACGTGTGTAAATTCTGGGTCATAAGAGTCATGGCAACCACAAAGCAAACTTCGCTCAGTTTTTTTTCTTTTTTAAAGACATTTCAACACCTATTCAAGAGACTTTATTAATTCTGTTGGTTCACACCAGGGTTGCAAGAAAATATTGCAATGCAATGATGTGTGAGCCAACAGAACTGACAAAGACTCCTTGATAAGTGTTGAAATGTCTTTAAAAAAAACAAACAATTACCTTCAAATTAGAGACTGTTTTTTATTTAGCATTTCTATATGATTTTATGAATCTAGGACTGTTTTTTTACATAGTATATAATAACATTCCCTACCTATCTGGGTATCACTTCATTGATGTGTGGACCTTTTTGAAAACATTAGGGTGGATGTGGCAATAGTGTGAAGTGCTTTGAGTGGCCAGTATAACTAGAAAAGAACTATATAAATTTAGTCTATATGCCAAAAACGAACTAAAAAAAGCATGGCATTCACGCTGGTTAATAAAGGCCTTTAAGAAACTCAATTTAGTGAATGAAAAACAGCAATGAAGGGAATAATGTTTAGTTTTTAAAGGGAATTTTGTTGCCCTTTAAAGGTATAATTTAAAGACCAGTACTATCTTTTTTCAACATTTTTATTGCCCCCCTTTAAATTGAATCATTTAGATGACTATAGTTCAGTAAAAATAGATAGGAGAATACAGTAGATAAATTACACTCCTCTTCCCTGGACACAAGGCAAAAGAAGAAGAATCATGGTTATTTTACAAATAATATATGTTTTTTCTAAAAAGGCATTCATCCTCAGGGTATGGCTGACAAAAGGCAACATATATTAGCACAAAAACACAAAATAAATTACAATGTTAAGTTAATCCTTAGTTATCTAAAGACAGAAGTCTTATTTAATAAGAACATGTTAAAACTGATTTATTAAACTTCAGCATTAAATCCAACAATTACTTTCAACAATTACTCAAGTGAAACTTCAACCAACGTAATTGGAGCATTTCTGCATAAGATATTTTTCTTGGTTTTTCCTTTTTCATTTTAGCCAGATTTAGAATTCTACTTTTGAAACTGTTATTTTTTTTTTTAGAGGTATTGAAAAGTTGGTGTAAAATTCAACAACATTTTTTAGAAAAACATCTCCAGCAGTGAGAATTTATAAGATTAAATACGACATACACTTATTTAGAGACCACTGATCACAGGTCAAAAACAGGAAATCGCTTTAAATGAACTTTTTTTCACTGATTCAGGAAGAGGACTTGATGAATGTAGTTTAAAAGACATGCATCATAAAGTTATCACTAATGATTCTTTTAAGGATGTGGGAGGAAAAAAATCTATCTTTAAAGCAAAAAATGTGTTATAATTACAGTATATAAGCTGCAGAAAGATAAATGCTAGATGGAAATAACAGTTTTTCTTTGGAATATTTGAGTAATTTTGTCTCTTAAAGATCGTGTTTGTAGTCCATAGATAATAGGATTTAAATTAGCAGGCACAACATGAAATAAAATATATGCAATTTTCCTTAAATCTGGATAATTTGGGAATCGGTGCAATATAATAGTGAGGAACCCTGTCCAGAGCATAATTAAATAAAGTACAAGGTGGCTTGCACAGGTTTGAAGTGCTTTGTTATTCAGCTCCTTGTTTTTCTTTATCCAGCAGATTAAAGCTATTCTGATGTAAGTAGCAGCAATACCTCCAATTGAAAAGGTAAATACCAGCACAGTAAAAAACAGTCCATAGAAGTTGTTGATAGACACATCCTCACAAGAAAGCTTGAACAATGATGGATTGTCACAAAAAGCATTTCTGATAACAGATCTGCATCGAGACAGCCTCACAGTAAGCCCAAGGAGTACAGACACCAGCAGTATAGACACCCCCCAGGCGGTGGCAGATAGGCCTATTACAGTTTTATTAGTCATGATGGTGCTGTACCGCAGGGGGTTGCAGATTGCAACATATCTGTCAACTGCCATGAATACAAGAATTATGTGCGATGCTGATCCAAAGGTATGGCTATGAAAAGCTTGAAACAAACACTGGTTATAGGTGACGAAACGTTTTGTGGAAAGGACATGAGCCATCAGCTGAGGCAGCAGGACCGTGTTTCCAATCAGGTCGTTCACAGATAGGTTACAGAATAGAAAGTACATGGGTTGATGTAAACTCTTTTCCTTTAAGATAAGTATGAGAACCCCAATGTTAGAAAAGAGCAGAGTGGAGTAGACAAACAGAAGTAAGAAAAACAGAGGGTATTTGAACTCAGGTGATATTTCAAATCCTTCGATCTCCAACATATTGGACGGAATTGAAGAATTTCCCCCCATTTTCTTTCATGTGGTTAAAAAATCTAAAAAAAAAACAACCAAAAAATTGCAGAAAGTAAACATGCTTTGCAATGTCAAAAACACACAAATATAAAAATCTTAATATAAAATATTGTTTTATTAATTTATATGAATATAAAACTCAGATTCAGTAAAACATTCTTTTATAGTATTGTATTTATTTCTATGCAGTTTAAACACCTATCTAAGCATAAGTGTAATCTGCCCTACTAATTAATTAATCTACGTATATAATTGAGCAGTAAAAACATATATCAAAGAAAACCTAACTGAATAAAAGTAAAAATATTAACCATGAACTATACTTACCTTTTTTTCTTAGCATATGTACAACAGGTAGCCTACTCTGGATAACCCCTACCCTCTGAATATCTGCAGTGATAAATACCTTGCTCTGGAAGGAGCGATTCCCTAGTTAATTTGGTATTTTTGTTGTTTGTACGGGTGTAATATTTTGTCACAAAGACTTTTGCACATGTTTAGAGATGAAAATCTTTAGAACACTATTTCTAAATACCTTAGACAACTCTGGACTTTTGTACAATGGCATGAGGGTAAAAACACACAAGAACATAACAGAAAACTTGACAATATTTAAAACAAAAAACAAGTCTAATGTGTTTAAGACAAAAACACTTTAAATTAGAAGCAACAGAGAAGATTTGTCTTTATTTTCTAATCACTTCAGAAGCTACTTTCTTTGTGGTTTACGATAATAAACATAATCAACTTTATTGGTGATTGCAAATTTACATGAAAAGGAAAGTATTTAAAACATTCATTAGGACAGTGGTTGCAAAACTTTTCTTGCTGGGTCCTACTTTGACTTAGAAGAAAGCTTTCATGCTCCCCTTAAACCATTTTTTTCCCTTTTTTTTTTTTTACATTCCTTGTTTATTAATTTTCACAATGAAAAGCACATCCAAAAAACTTGCCACCTCTTTAAATCACAAACCTACCTCTTTTAAATGTCATTATTTTAAGTCAAACAGTATTTTCTTAAAGGATAACAGAATTTAACATTACCTTAAGTACAATTTTAAACAATGACCTCTTAATGTTGGCAGTTTATTCAGTTAACTTCTACCTTGCCCCCCTTCAATTACTGAGCTCCCCCTGGTGCTTGTGCCCCCCACTCTAGGAACCACTGCCTCAGGGATGGGCAGCTTGCAGAGCCTGGAGAGGAAACTAGGGTTTTGGTACAGTACCCAGCATGCCAGACCATGGGATTTGAACAGGAAGTGGATGCGTGTTAGAGTAGCTCTGCTTATTTGATACTGATACTCTTCTCAAAAGAACTTTATGTCCTCCATTGTGGATAAAAGCTCCTTTTTTTAGGTTTTCTACTCTTTTTTTTTTACCTCTGGTGTTAGATGCTGTGCAGCTGAAAGGATTTTTGCTAAAAAAAAAAAAATAATTTTAAGACGTTTATAATGATGTGTAATTATAGCAAAATAGATGTTTCTTTTTTACATCTAGGAGCAGCTCAAAAAAATCTTAGAAGCTGTAAACAATACTTTCACTACTTCCACAAGTCCTGGTTAAGTTGAAAAGGCACAGAGGATGCAGAGCAGGAGCAAAGAAGAGGAAGAGAGTGCAATCTTCAGAGTGATTTTAGAACTAATTCTAAGGTGCATGATAAATACGGCCCTAGAGGAAGAAGGCTCTCTTATGTTCTGAGGTTGCTTTGCTTGTGGGGCTGCTTTGCTGGTACAGAGTGTCTTGAATCTCTGCATGGTTCAAGCTAATTTCAGGACTATCGTGAGATTCTAGAGAAATGTGCTGCTCATTGTCAGAAACCTTGGTTTTAGATGGAGGTAATGGGTCTTGCAACAGGATGATGACCCAAAATACAGCTAATAACGAAAATTTTGGGTATTCTAAAGTGGCCCTCTATGAGCCCTAAAAGAAAAAGTGCAACCTTCAAACCTGAGACAACAGGAGTAGATTGCTCATGAGGAGTGGGCCAAACCTGCTGATGGATGCAGAAGTATCATTGGGATTTCATGATTTTTAAAATCTTTATGTTGAACCCTGATTGAAAACCAATGTCTGTTTTCCATTCATTCATTTTGATATAATTTAAAAATTTTACTTTTGTCAGATCTGAGTTATTTCTCTGACCACAGTGAGTTTTTTCTTTCAGAAGTACCAAAAATTTTTCTCATGATACAATTTTTAACAATACTGCAGTCAAAATTTTAAGGTTGTAGAAAAGTTGGATAAACATCTGCCTGAATGGACAGCAACATATTTACCAGAAGTCAGATGAGTGCTAAAGAACTTGCAGTCCAGAGGGACAAGTTTTGAAAACATAGTTTAGCTACCAGCCATCTTTCAGTCAGGGACATTAAGTCCAACTCTCATAAAATAAAATGTTTTTTCAGATTTAAGGTAAAGCATTAACATGAGCCAAATAATGATCTCCTCCTCTTTGGCCACCAATAAGGCCCAATCAATGGAGGAAAGTAACAAAGTACATTTACTTGAATACTGTACGTCAGTTCTTTTTTGAGACTCTTTACTTTACTTATGTAATTTATGTGTTCTCATGGGCATTTTCTCCCTGGCATGCATGGGTTCTCTCTGGGTACTCCGGCTTCTTCCCACTGTACAGAAACATGACCTGTTAGTTGAATTGGCTTCTTTAAATTGTCCTTAGGTGTGAGTGTGCACTGTTGTATGTTTTCATGTGTCTCTGTGTTGCCCTGTGACACACAGGTGACCTGTCCAGGGTGTACCCTGCTTCTCGTCCATAGACTGCTGGAGAACGGGTACCAGCTCCACCAGGACCCTGACGGATTAAGTGAGAGAAGATATATAGATGGAGTACTTCAAAACTTTAACTTGAGTAGATGTTTGATCAAGTAACTTTTACTTGTAGTTGAGTAAGGTCTGACTATAAGTATCAATACTTTTACTGAAGAACTACTGTTGAGTACTTTGTCCATCACTGGGCCAAATTCAGTGGTCAGACGTTAGTGAGCTCAAAGGTGCAGATGAGCGCCGGCCCCCTGTGCAGGCGCTTGGTCCATCGCTCATCAAAGAACGACAAGTGGGATCCAGTGTTTAAAAGAAAAAACAAAAAATAACAGTAGGTCAGGGATCCCCTCGAGGCAACTTCTGGACCAAAAGTGATTGTGACATCCCTTTCTCCTTTTTAAATGTATACTGTATATGTATGGAAAGATAACATTTATGAAATATTTTCGAAAAAATATCCCTATACTGAAATGAACTTTAGCAGAGGGATTAAGAAAACATCTAAAAAGAAAGCACTTTCAGACCACTTTGTTGCCCTCTTTTATGATATGAAAGGGAAACCTTGGTAAGTAAACTGACTGTAAGTAAAATGGCTGACAAAGTCAACAGCAGTGAAGAATACCACGTTTTTTAGCTTTATTTCAGTCCCTACCAATGAGAGACAAGGCAGAGTAAGAATAAAAAGTCAGCTGTCATCACAATCAACCACTGGTGAAGCAGAACAGTTTCGAGGAGTAGCAGCAAAGACAATAGATATTTTTAGGACTTGAACCTCATTTTGAATACCCTTAAATCTTTTTGAAAAACAAACAAAAGGATGCGATTTTTGCCTTTGTTGATGGTAAGATGGTTGCATGTTCCTCCGGGCCGGATTTTGTAAGAGGTTGATTTATCATTTAACTTTGTAAATCACATTCTTTGCCAATCACATCTGCTACTGCTGCTGTGATTGGCTAAAAACTCAACATCGGAATCAGGTACCCCATCAACTTGAAGAATTGCACTGAATATCCCTCCCTTTGTAAACACTTTCTACAGGATGTTTCCCAGATTGATACGTGTAATTCAATTTAAGTTCTACATGGTATCAGCCTGGTTTATGTATACTGTTAGAGATTCAACAGAATATATAAGCAGGCTCGTGTTTAGGGCCATCATCAATATGAGTACTTGTGCATTCTCGTGACATTTCACCAGCCTCAGCCCCAGCACTGTTTCAATTGTCAAGAACACAAAAATGAGAATATTTGAGAATATTATGTTTTTCAGACTGACCGCTGTCCCAGCATACACCGCAGCAACAGGTGAGTTCCAAGGGAGCGTTCACAGAGCTCAGAGTTTACTTTTCTGCTGCCGTTGCTCTACAGGGGCGAGAAAATTATGCTTTTAAACTTTCATATGGCCCAATTAATTATTTTTATGCGTAACTGAAGAAAAGTTCAGATGTTGGGAGGACCTTGGCCGCAGACACCCGAGGCTAGCTGCAGCCAGAGGTAATGTTTGCTCATCTGCAGTAGCCTTCTCTTGGCCTAGTTGTGCGTGAAGTACAGCTGCTAATCCCATTCTTTTGTTATTGTTAAATTTGGCAACATTTTTATTTAATTTTTTTTATCTGGTGGATTTGTGCTGTTTTATTTAATAGATATTTGCTTGAATAACATTATAAAATTATAACTATTCCATACTCGCATTCTCGTGAATTGAGAAGCGGCTTAGGCCTTCTACTATGAGAAATAGTATCACAATACACCAAACATCTCACATTAACTGGAGAAACATCCAAAGCTTATCTTCAATTTTATAAAGTCCAGTTCTCTGGGGTATAATAATTGGTCTTTCCTGTTGTCCCAAAGGTGCTTTTGTGGTCTTTGTTCCCAGATGGTCTCTGTGACCACTTCAGTGCCCTGTTTCAATTATTCAGGCAGCTTTAATCTGTTTCCTATAAATATTACCTTTTTAAAAGAAAAGAAAATCAAAATCAGCAATCAATTCATGTTTTTACAAAAGAACATTCAACGTGTTAGTTTCAAAAGTTGCCTTAAAAGTTGCCTCAGTCGCCAACCTGGATGATTTACATGTCACCTCCCAGGTGCATTGTGGGACAACATCCCATAGTGGGAATTAGCATTCATATTAGATAGAAATTCCTCCAGGGATTAATTATTTTTTGAGACTGTTAATAACAATAATTTAGCTTTATCTCAAAGGGGCTCATTATTAGAAATGTTTTGACAGAGTAATGAGACAACATTTTTTCCATCGTAAATACCATCTAGTTGGATGGTACCAGAATTTTCCCTGTCAAATGTTTTTTTTTTTTTTCATTCACCATAATAAACAACATGGTTATTTATTGTATATTTGGTAAATCCAGAATAGAAAAACACTTAAACTGGATTATTAGATTCTACCCAAAATATTTATAATATATACATTTTAATTTGCAGTAGAAGGATGTTGGTTCCAATACCACTAGAGGACCTGTTTTAGGAGGGGGGTTAAATACGACCCATGTATATATCTGGCTCTCTCATATTGCCTATTAATGCAAGTGGACAGTGTTTGATCGAACATATTCTTTGGTTCA